AAAAAGTTTGAAGGGGAAAAAATCATTGTGTTCTTTTATGAATTAGTGAAAGTGATACAAAAAAAAGAAATATAGTAAATAATTGATAGTAACTTATCAAAAGCATCATCATTAGAGAGTATGTTTGGCATGATCGTTTAGAAGCTTTGCAATACGTCAAACTCTTTCAAACGCGCATCAGCTCGAGATTAGGCCCCTGTTTACAAAATGGCGACTGGAAGTAGAAAGGCGAATTAAATTGGAACTTCAATTGTGAATATTTCGGCAAGTAAACATTGTTCACACAGCCGATGTGGTCTGTGCATCTAATTTAGTCAAGATGAACTCAGACCAGTCGTTATTAAGTCGCTAGAGTCATTCACAAAAAAAATAGTATTATCATATAAACTTATTGTAATTATTATGTCATAGTGAAATTGAAGGCTCAGTGTGCGTCATTTTGTTGATGAGACAAAAAGACTTCTTCGATCCTTTGATGTACATCAAAAAGATTTCACCGTCGCGTTACGGCAAACATTTACTGACTTTTAAGTCGGGTGTCACCCCTTTGTTATCTGCAAAGGACAGGTATCAGCCTAGCGATTGGTCAGGAATTGTACCCGAGACCTATCGAACAGCTGCCTTTGTGCCTTTATTTTTAATGACAGATTACAGGGGAGCAAAAATGCAGCAAATAACTTATTCTACGTCGTGGGATAAGGATTTGTTAGCTGCCACACAGATTCTGTAGATATACCACAATCAGTAATTGTAAATATTGATTATGTGTTTTTCTTATATTTTTCTGGTTTCAGAAACTCCAGCCATACACTCCACCAGGTAGATAGTCGTGTGTTACGTTTCTCCGGCAGTGAAGAAGTATTGTTTGACACTGAAAGATTTTCCGACTACACCGGCAAATCTACAGAAAGTTTGACTCGCTCTGTTGAAGTAGTACCGAGGTCATATCGTAGAATTCTCAAGCGAGATGTTTGGAATAGAGGACACTCTTCTGTCTGTGCAAACGTCTGTAGAAGACATCGCAAACACAACTGAATGTCTGAAGAACAGAGTCGATGAAACTCTAAATGAAAGTGATGAACTGATGAACAGGATTGGGCACAGAATCGACAACATAGCTGACCTCGTCACCATCCTTGGCATGGTATTCCTGTTCGTGCTTTCTGATTCACTTTTCGTTGAGCAGTTTACATTATATTATTACCCTTTCCAGTTCATTCGAGCAATTTGTGTGATGACATCTTTGCTGTTATTAGTTCGTCTGATCTGTGAGTTGATCTTTCGTGTGCGTATGAACACTGATTCTACCATAATATATAGTATTGTATTCCTCGTCATATCTTTACTGGTATGGTATCTGAAATCTATGTTTTCCCAAAGGAATTCACCGGAAAAACTTGTTTAGTCCTGATCTGTACAGGTAATGTCCAATTATCCAAGAAAACAAGTTCATTGTTTTTAGCATCCGATTTTTTTATGTTTTTAAAGATTACAAATTGTACAGGTACACATTGTATCTACGATAGCAAGTGTTTTTCTAGTACACAGTTGGACTGCAGGACCGTGATAAAATAAAAATTATGAAGTAACTCGTTTCCGTTGATTTTTTCTTTTTCTTTTTCAGAAAAATAGATTTCTTAACGAATGAAATAAAAGATTGACACCCGTAACCTTTCCTCAAACGAGTCAACAAAACACAATAGGATTACTCCATAACCTAAGAGTTCTGAAGGCAATGTTGTCTGAACGGAAATTCGTGGACGGATGACAAACTCACAGTCACTTAGAATCTATATCAGGTGAAATGTTGATAATGTACGATTTCTGGTTGACAGTATATTTGTTGAGTTTGGAGACAACATTTTCCGTCAGTCAGTCCGTTTGGAACAAACTGTACCCCTCTTTTGGTCTATTTTTCTTTTCATTTGTTTCCATATGAAGATAATTTGAAACAAGAGGCCCAATGGGCCTGAATCGCTCACCTGGTATTAATCTTACACTTGTAATCTGAAAAGTGGACTAAAATACAGCTAAGGGCAGAATATCAGTGTTTGATTCATAAGAACATATTAAAAGATGAAAGAACATATGACGCCTGTGAGCTTGAATGTCGAACAAGGACATTATGTTGAACACAGTTTATAGTCTTCCAACCCAGCAAGCTTTTGGCAAAATACCCTGGACCTTTTGGTTATACAGAGCAAGTCATTTAATGATTTAAACATATATCGACCACTGTGACCTTGAATATGGGCGAAGGTCATTGATTTGAACAAACTTGGTAGTCCTTCATCCAAACATTTTAATGACAAAATATCATCACCTTTGGCCTTTTGCTTGTTGAGAAGTCGTTTAAAGGTTTTAAATATATTTGACCCCTGTGACCTTGGATCTATGTCAAGGTCGTCATTCATTTGAACAACCTTGGTAGCCCTTTTAACCCAGCATGGTACTGGCCAAATATCATTATCCTAGGCCTATTGGTTATTCAGGAGAAGCTGTTTAAAGGTTTTTGACATATTTGAACCCTGTGACCTTGAATATGAGTCAAGGTCATTCAATTGAACAAACTTGGTAACCCTTCATTTCAGCATGCTACTGGCCAAACATCATCATCCTAGGAATTTCGGTTATTGAGAAGAAGTTGTTTAAAGGTTTGAAACATATTTCACCATTGTGACCTTGAATATTTGTCTAGATAATTCATTTTAACAAACTTAGTATTCATTCATCCAAGCATGCGGCTGGCCAAAATATCATTACCCTAGGCATCTTAGTTATTCAGATTAAGTTGTTTAAATGTTTTAAACATATTTGACCCATGTGACCTTTAATACAAGTCAAGGTCATTCAATTGAACAAACTTGGTAGCCTTTCTTTTCAGCATGCTACTGGCCAAAAGTCATCATCCTAGGAATGTCGGTTATTGAGAAGTTGTTTAAAGGTTTAAAACATATTTGACCCCTGTGACCTTGAAAATAGAAGAAGGTAATTCATTTGAACAAACTTGGTAGTCTTTCATCCTAGCAAATCACTAACAAAATATCATTATCCTAGGCCTCTTGGTTATTCAGAAGTTGTTTGAAAGGTTTCAAACATAATTGACCCCTGTGACGTTGAATACATGTCAAGGTAATTCATTTGAACAAACTTGGTAGTCCTTCATCCCAGCATGTTACTGACAAAATATCATTATCCTAGGCTCCTTTGTTATTCAAAATAAGTTGGTTAAAGGTTTTAAAAATATTTGACCCCTTTGACCTTGAATATAAAGCAATGTCATTCATTTGAACAAACTTGGTAGCGCTTCATCACAGCATACTACTGGCCAAATAGCATCATCCTAGGAATTTCGGTTATTGGTTATTGAGAAGAAGTTGTTTAAAGGTTTTAAACATATTTCACCAGTGTGACCTTGAACATGAGTCAAGGTCATTCAATTGAACAAACTTGGTAGCCTTTCTATTCAGCATGCTTCTGGCCAAAAATCATCATCCTAGAACTTTCGGTTATTGAGAAGTTGTTTAAAGGTTTTAAACATATTTCACCATTGTGACCTTGAAAATTTGTTAAGGTCATTCATTTTAACAAACTTGGTAGCCCTTCATCCTAGCATGTTACTGTCAAAATATCATAACCCTAGGCCTCTTAGTTATTCAGAAGAAAGTGTTATAAGATTTTTTTAGACAATTGACCCCTGTGATCTTGAAAATGGATGAAGGTCATTCATTTAAACAAACTTGGTAGCCCTTCATCCTAGCAAATCTCTGACAAAATATCATTATCCTAGGCCTCTTGGTTATTCAGAAGAAGTTGTTTAAAGGTTTCAAACATATTTGACCCCTGTGACCTTGAATATATGTCAAGGTCATTTATTTAAACAAACTTGATAGTCCTTCATCACAGTATACTACTGGCCAAATATCATAACCCTATGTCTCTTGGTTATTCAGAAGAAGCTGTTTAAAGTAAAATATTAAAATAAAATATCACCTTCGGGCCAGGTGAGCTAAAACAAAAATTCAGATATATCGCCGATACGCTGTCTTAACAATAAATGTTTTGAACACATCAATCTTATTAACCCCGTGAATTTGAAACCAAGGAAGAAACAGACTCTTCTACTTTAAAGCATTAGAAGCAGGGACGGGATACTACCCAGTTGTACGATAAATGGTATAATTTCGACTTTCCAGTTGTGAACTTTCCCTTTCTTGATAGTAATGTCCATGTTTTCCCTACCTATTACGTTCACATGTCACAGGTTATCCGGTACGTATAACGTTTGTCCGATTATCATAACTTCCGTGATGGATGTCGACTGCTGATGAAAAAACTTACTACAAATGATTTACAAATATGCAAGTAAGACTATGGAGACGTTACACGATCGCCATCATACTCAGATAGGGAAATATGCTGTTTTTTCTGTGTGATAGGAGGATCGATTGTTTATCCTTGTTAGTGTCCATTGAGGTTTTGTCGTCAATATCTGATTTCCCTTTGTAAGAATGTGACATTCTGTTTGATTTGAGTTAGATTAACATGGCGGGTGTCGTCCATGAAGCAGAAGACGCTTACCCTTCCGGAACACCTCGGCCCCGTTGTTCAAAATGTAATTAGCTTAATCAATGATTAACGAAACTTTTAGTGTTGGTGTACCGTTAAAACACAACAATCAACAGAGTTAAATCTCTTTACAGATAGCAAACATTCAGTTAAATAAAGTTAGATGCAAAACTACCGGTTTTTACCTTGTATATTGACCAAATTATTATAGAATGTAAATTATCGTTAAATAGTAATACAGCTAATCACCTTTTGAACAACTTGACCCAGGTCTTCTTTACCTTAAACAAGTTCAAGGGTCTCCATGTATCATTATTTTTATTTTGCTTTATTTATTTTATCGATTTTGAGTTTGAATTACGATTTCGGCAACGCTTTAGTAGTCTGTTGTGTATCAAAGATCAAGACCACCTTGTAATAACAAGTCAAAATCATTGTTCAGTTGTTTATTGAAGAAAGGTGATAAGGGCAATCATTGTTCGGGGATTGAACCCAGTGCCCTTCAACCCTGGTTATCCCTATCCCAACTATTGCTGAAGAATTAAAACAATTGAAACAAAAAAAAAATAGAAAAAATTGTTTATTGAAGAAAGGTGATATGAAATTTTAACTCTCGATTAGCTGTAGCTCGCAGGTTGGACTCTTGTTAATCTGAAATCACCAGGCAAAGTCAAGTCAAGCTTAGATGTCTGGAACTAGTTCGTAAACTTTCATTAGTAGAATTCAAGTCATTAAACCAACTTAATAAACAAATCGTATATTAAAGATCATCAAGTTAAATAGCTTTAAGGATCTTTTTCTCGTCTGCCAATTCTGCCTCGCGCCAATGAGGTGGCCATGACTTGTCAATGCTCGGTCGTTTGCACAGCTTTTCGTAGTAGATTTTGAGGTTTGGAAAACCGCTGAGGTCGTTGCCAAATCGTTTTACAGTGGCAACATAGGGAAACAGTACCACATCAACCAGCGTGAACTTATCCCCACAAACAAAATCACCGCCAGACTATTAAACGAAACAAGAAAAGCATGATGAAAATAAAGTCAACATATTATCAAAGTTTTACTTTATACACAAACAATGTACGTTTAATACTATTGAAAATTACCATAATTCCAAATTTATAAATGAAATACGATTTATAAAATTGTCCGAAGTGTAAATGTTATGTCAATTCAAGTTTAAAAGGGGAAAACAGTTTCAGTATGTATTTAAGAATATGAAGACTAACCATGCATGCATCACAAATCAACGAAGTAGAGACGTTTGTTGGTCGCGGATCAAAAAACAACTTACTCGAAGGTCCTTAAAGCTGACAGAGCAGGTTAAAAAGCTTTCAATTGAGATTAAAATAAAATCTTACTGGTTTTGAGATGTTCTCAATCTATTCCAACTATCGTTTCTAAGGAAGTGCCGACATTTTGGGTAATGCGCCTTTTATACCCAGCGTGACCCATACTCGTTACCACGCAAGGACAAACTAAAATGTCGGCACTTCCTTAGAAACGATTGTTGGAAGAGATGGGGAAGATTTCAAAACAAGAAAAAAACACTTCTTTTTTATATCTCAATTGAATGCTTTTTAACACTCAGCTTTAAGGTCGTACATAACAAGACAGATAATCATGTTGAGGCCTATATTGAAGATTAATGACTGCTTTTTGATGTCTAGTTATACATGTTTTACACTCCTTGTCATCTTTATAGGTTACGAGATGTTACAAGTGTCTGTCTTAGCCAGGTCAATATAATGTGGGGTTCATCGTCTAAACATGAAAATATATTGAATGTCTCATTTTAACTTATGTAATTTAAACTGTGGTAAAATGTTGTTGCAGGCCTAATGTCCTGTCTCATATGGAATATTGTAAGTTTGGTTTGGGTTAGTTTGGTTTAGTATTGTTTAACGTCCTATCATCAGCTGTGGTATATTGTAAGTGCTGTTGTTTCGCGACATAATCTTGATAGAAAGACACTCTACTTGATAACACTTGGAGACACCATCTGAAGGATTCCTATTCCACTGCACTGTGTTTGTTCGTATACTCAGTGACCTCCTCTAAATATCATTTCAGATATCACTGTACCACAGTTGGGCCTGAGCACTCCCATTATCCAAGAAGCTTAGATGGTTAGAGAGATAACAAGTCCAGGGTCTAGCATGGTTGACTTCTTTTTCACATTCAGAACATAAACGTCTCGCAAGTTATGGTTGTCTTTACAAAAATGATTTATCAAAACTTAAGTTGTGTCAAAATAATTAGTTTCTGATGTATTTACAGTTTTTGGTGCCCCTTAACTAATGAGGAAGTAGGATAAAAGGATCCCAAGATTTTAAGTGGAGGCAGCAGGTCAGATTTTGTTTCTTCAATGTTTCTTTAACTCATTCAACCCTGAAGACAAAACTGAACTCTTCCAATTATAAGGTTGGAATAGTTCATTATGAAATTTCAGGGGTGAATGAGTTAATACAGTACAAAAATATGACCCCCGATAAAACAGGTAACCATATAAGTCACACAATACAATAATATTGTGATACAGATGGTCTCTTCATGGAAGTGATGTCGCAATTTCTTTATGAAAATCAACAATCAACATAATATATTCCTACCTTTTCTAGGCGTTTATCCCATATTTGAAGTTCCTCTCTAGCAGCTTGGAAGTTTTCTTTGAGCGTTTTCTGTAAGTGAAATAGTTAGAATATACTTAACAGTTATAAATCGATTGAATTCACCATACTACAATGGTTTGTTGTTGGGTTTTTTCAAACCAAACAACTTACTAATAAATTTTAACTGTCATATTACTTAATTTATTTTTACAACAAAACAGAGACATGCGCATGGAAACCCAACGATCACATTGGTGTTTTTTTTGAGAAATGACAAACTACGTTTTGTGGTGTGTCAGTTTTCCTCAATCAGAACGCTGCAACGATTTACAATACAACTTCAGTCAACTTCTCGAAGTAGTCTTCAACAGTTGATGCGTCCAGGCGTGAACGCAACACAGACATTTTCGCTGGCTTCCTTACAACCAATAGTAGAAATATTTTCACTATTCCTAATCATAGACATTTTCTTATCGGTCGGATTAAGCTCCTTCTTCATTTGGGGTCCTCTCAAAAGCAGGCATCTAATTGTCCGGAGTCATCAAATCCTAGTACATTTATATTCCTCATCAATCTTATACTCTGGGAGTCATCTGATTCTAGTAAATATACATACCTGATCTGCCTTATCGTCCCCAGTCATCAATTCTAGTAAATGTATATATCTCATCTCTTTTATCGTCCCAAGTCATCCAATACTAGTAAATATTCATACTGATCTCTCTTATCGTCCCTAGTCATCCAATTCAAGTAAATGTATTTACCCCATCTCTCTTATCGCTTCTGGAGTCATCCAACCCTAGTAAACGTACATACCTCATCTCACTTATCCTCTGGAGTTATCCAACCCTAGTAAATGTACATACCTAACCCTTTTATCCTCTGTAGTCATCTGATCCTATTAAATGTACATACCTCATCTCACTTATGCTCTGGAGTTATCCAATCCTAGTAAATGTACATACCTAACCCTTTTATCCTCTGTAGTCATCTGTTCCTATTAAATGTATATACCTCATCTCACTTATCCTCTGGAGTTATCCAACCCTAGTAAATGTACATACCTAACCCTTTTATCCTCTGTAGTCATCTGATCCTATTAAATGTATATACCTCATCTCACTTATCCTCTGGAGTCATCTGATCCTATTAAATGTACATACCTCATCTCACTTATGATCCGGAGTCATCCAATCCTAGTAAGTTTACATACCTAACCTCTCTAATCCTCTGGAGTCATCTGATCCTATTAAATGTACATACTTCATCTCTCTCATCGTCCTCAATCATCCAATCCCAGTAAATGTACATACCTCATCTCTTTGTTCCTCTGGCAACCTCCATTGGTAATAGATGCACTTGACTGCGATCTTCATTTGGAGATTTTCTTGTGCCTGAAAGTCATTTTTGTGTAAACATTTACTTAGCTTGCTCGTATGTTACTAAACCACTTTTTAGAACTGTTAACTATTTTTAATTACATGTTTTCTATAAATTTTTCGTTCACTTGAATAAAAATTCTTCTGATACATTATTTAGAAGAAATTTTCACAATAAGTAACATTCGGCTACTGGCCGGCATAAGGGCAAATTAATTCATCAATAACTAGTTCTTTTTTCTTTTGTTGAATAGATTTGTTTCATTGTAACTGTTTTTCTCTCTCGATATGTTGTGATATAAAATAGTCCATGCGTCTGTCTCGATACAATGGTGAGCTCTACTAGATAGCACATTTCCCATTCGACCGATATGCTACTGTTGAGAGTAGTTCAGATGGTCCTACGTTTAGCTTGACTGAGTATGATATAGTTTGGTTTTTGTAAGCTTTCTATTGGCGGTTATACAAAGATTTCTGTTGAACGCAAAGCTATAAAACGTTATACGTTGATTGCTTGATATGAGTGAACGTATTGTAATGTGTGGATTAAAATGAAAATAAATATTAAGGTTACTCAATATTGACATTGGTTTTTAGAAAAAAAAGTGTAACATCAAAACTGATTATTGTAAGTAACTTCGTGTTTTTATATCAATCATAATGGCAATACTTTACATCTAAGTTGTTTTATAAAACCTTACATCGACAGGGAGACCCAGGAACTAGGAACCAAAAACAGGCTCCACAATCGACATAAGTAAAATGATATAAAGATATGGTAGCGCTCATTGCTGAAAAGTACAGTATGTGCTGAAAGCGCTCGATCACAACTGATGACCATCAACCCTTCTATCACCTGAAATTAAGTGACAAATTATATTTACCTCTATGGCCATTTGATACACCTGGGCCATTTTTTCTTTCGGAACCAGTTTGGTGCCATTATCCGGATACGCATTCTAGAAATACAATATGTACTTGCATAAAACATACCATTTGCACTTTCTATTAATAGCACACTCCTATCATGTATGATGTCAGAACGCTCATTAAATACAAATATATAAAATAAATTTCAAAATTATGATATCAGGTCGTATATGATGTCAAAGGAAAATTCTAACTTCACTCTTACTCAGCACAAATCTGCACTGTATTTCTACCATTAATCCGCCCACAATTTTCTATACTGCGGTAGTTAAAACGTTTAATCCGTCTAAATACACATTTCTATACCAAGGTATTTTAAAAATTTAATCCGTCCAAACACACATTTCTATACCAAGGTAGTTTAAATGTTAAATCCGTCCAAATACACATTTCTATACCGCGGTAGTTAAAACGTTTAATTCGTCCAAATACACATTTCTATACCGAGGTAGTTAAAAAAAACGTTTAACCCGTCCAAATACCCATTTCTTTATCGAGTTGTTTAAATATTTAATCCGTCCAAACACACATTTCTACACTGAGGTAGTTAAAATGTTAAATCCGTCCAAATACACATTTCTATATCGAGGTAGTTTAAATGTTTAATCCGTCCAAATACACATTTCTATACCGAGTTAGTTAAAATGTTAAATCCGCCCAAACACACATTTTTATACTGAGGTAGTTAAAACGTTTAATACGGAATAATACATACGGGTAGATCTATTTTCTTTTATAAGTGTATATATATATATATATAGAAAAAATAAAATTAACGACCGACTAATATTAATAAATTAATATTAATTTTAATTTTATTTTTTCTATATTTACTTCCTTCACATGGACATTTAATCACTTTTTATTATATATATATATATATATATATATACAAAACCTTTTTTAAAGCAATAAGAAGCTGCATGAATATTAAAATAAATAAACAAAACAGCATGCAAGTATAACAACAAACAAAACAGCATGTAAGTATAACAACAAACAAAACAGATAACGCAAATGGTCATCAGAAAAAGCTTGTGAATATTATTACCACTTATATCAGCCACAGTCTTCACTTACCTCGAGATACAGACAGATAGCCAAGGACTCGTTTACGATAATATCACCATCACTGAAAGTTGGAACCTGTCCAGTAAAAATATTACAGATATATTGATAATATAAAATAATAATAATCTTTATTTAACGTCGTGTACAATTGTCAACAACAAACATAAGCTCTGTAGAGCTTTTATTACGACGCCGCTAAGGGAACAAATGGTGTTTTCGTGGTGGAGGAAAACCCACGGGGGGAAAACCACCGTGCCATCGGAGGGATAACAACTAACCCTATCAGACATCACTCTCTTTTTTCCACCACCGCTGGGGATCGAATCGAAATTCTTGGGAGAGCAAGTGGTCTGAAGCTCACGCTAGATTGCACACAGTAGTACAATGACTGTGCGCGTTAGCGATCACGGCTACCGAGGCACCCTTGATGAAGAGTTAATATAGCTAAAATGTTGAAATGGATGGTTTATAGTGATATTGAAGTATGTGTAGATAAAATTCCTCTTACTAATGTCCAAAACAAAATACCTGGGTTACACATCTACAACAATTCAGAGCATTTGATTATGTATCCTCGTGTTATCGTTTCCGGGTACGTAAGAAACAGTCGCGATTTCGTACTCATATCGTTAGAAAACTGTTGAAATTACGGATGACTGTCAAAGACTTGTACACAATTTACTAATTGAAACAAAAAACTATCAACATAAAACTGTATTTTAAAAAAACAAAACTTTAACAAATGTCTCGTGTTGAAAGTAGACGTCATATGTTTCCGTGTGTCTATTTTGATTTAGTGTTCAAAGAAAGACAACTCGAGTACCCTAAATAGAAATGCTCCATAGTAGCCCACACGAACTAAAGCTTCGTTTGGTATAAAAATATCTTCGATCGTCAAATTAATTATCAAAACTTTTTTTTTTAATTTCACATTTTTTTTATTGACTTTTTTAATATGTCAACTTGAACGAATTGATTTAATTTTGTTTAGTTAGTTATAATAGAATCTGTTATTATTTTGTGCAGTCTTATATCGGTTTTGGTTGATGGTAAGTTATTTCTCATTTTGTTCTGTGTAAAATTGATGAAAATTGGAAGTTCATTGCATTACAAGTCATTGCAAACAGTTTTTATCGATATAAGAATATCTCATTCGCTCTTCGGAAGTGGAGAAGAAGTGGCCTCATTTGTATACGACATTTTCGTACGTTTGTCAGACTACAAAAAAACCCGGTTCAGGAACGAAATATATCACTGTTCATGCTAAAAAGTGTATTAAGCAAAACTGCATATATATGCGTGATTTTTAATCAGTGATGAATTCTTATGTTTTCCGAACGAACTTCCAGGATTTTTTGCGTCAGTTTACAGACGATGGCCAAAATATTCTTGTGAAGTGTCCAGCAGGTCATGTAGTAACATGACTAGATCTAGCTTGATAAAATGGCTGCATGATAACCTATAACGCGCGGAAACCTATGACTACACGATATTATATACTGGGGCCATCAGGCCACTGGTGGGATTATTTTTAAACTGTGTCGATGTCAACAAAAATATCAATTAGACATCAAAACCGTAGAGCTAGGCCATTTAGGCGTCGACTACATACATCCATCTAGTGTTCCCCCCTTTAGGATATCTGTCCCACTGGAGTGCCGTTTTTCTTACATACAGAATCGTCCCCTCAACTTCCGTTTTGATAAAACTATAGCGCGCGATCCAAATATGGTACACAGATCTAGAACATATAGGGGTATTGTAAAGTATAATAAAACGGGCTCTTACGTTTACTCGCGTTATCTTAACAAATACAAGTATATCTCAACATTAGCTATACTGTTCTGCTGTTTTAACGTTATCACTTGATATTTTTTATCTTTTGCACTATCGTGTTTACCTTATTATAAATCAAACTTAACTAAATATCTACTTCTATTACGACGTATAAGGAAACGAGCTGGATTTGTTTCGATACGATACGCTTTAAAATTCTATCCGATGGGTTGTATGCTTATCAGTATCATGCCTATTTCGCTGGTCTATAAAACGAGTCTATATTTTGATAAAACATCACAAGATTTAACAAGTTATAAAGCACGTGTCACCGGTTAAAATGATCACCATGCATACTCGCATACCTTCTGGCTACAGCCAACAGTAAACACTCCGGTTATGAATGTGGACTTAAAATTTGTGCCGCAAATCATAAGCTCACCAGCTTTTTGGCGGTCACCTTTACCAAACTTTATTACTCTTGCACTTAATATCTGAATTTTTCCATATATGGTCAAAGTATCGTAGAAAACATTAATCAACCAAAACGCTTTAAGATTCGTGTCCCGCGTAGCCGCGGTTATTCTTATATACAGTAACCTCCCCTTAACTTCCGTTTGGATATAACTGTAGCACGGTTCGGCCGGGACACTTCCGTAGACCATGGCCGTTTTCGTTTGTCGCGATCCAAACGGTTGAATCGGTTGTTCGTTTATAAAATAAAGTCTGACCCAGGATTCTGATGCAGTTTGTCGGCGAGCCTCGACAAAGCCTTGCAAGGCCTGCATAAACTTTTGCAGGTCCGCCAGGATTTATACCCGAAAATATTATGTTTACAAACGGACGTACCGGTTGTTCTGCACCCTGGTAGCGCAATCGGTAAGGCCGCTATAGTTCAACAATCTGAAGTCTGGGGTTCGAATGGCGGTCTGGACCCGCGATTTTTTTACATTCAGAAACATTTTCGTTGATTATATTTTGTTCATTTCATCTTCCACCATTTCCCATGTTACTCCCGCAGGTTAGATTTTCTTTTCAGAAATGTCTTATCAAAGCTATATTCAATCCGAAAAAGAGGGTTTCAAGAACTTATTTAAATTTTTTTGCAATGCTACGGCGACCCTTAAATATATCAGATAGTAGCATTTAACCAAAATCTGTCAAAAAGCATTCTTAACACAATATGTTTTCACATTTTGCATACAATTATTTGAACTCATTAAAATAACATAAGATTTATGCTTCCACATTTGTGCTTGGTCCTAATCGCCTGCTCGTTTATGATCCAACATGTCATTATGGCCAGTTTCAGTGTAGGCCAGAAAGTGGACGCGTTAAAACGTGTATATATGGAGCACTCAGGTGAAACAACCACTTGAGATTGAAGAGCAAAATCATATCATTTACATAATACACCTGTGCCTAAGTTCTCAAAAGAATCGTTCTATAAAATAACCCTATCAAACAAAGGCTTCCTTTTGTACGAACAAAAGTCATTATATCATGCGTGCGGCTACTAAGCTATACTAGCCAAACATGTCAGCTAGGTCAGAAGGCAATGTCTTACATATCCCAATTTCCTAAGCATGCATGTTCTTATGATTAGTGATGCTTTTTCTAAATATAATATAGCTTACTTCTAGCTTACGTCTATAAATTAATACAATTATTCGCCTGCAAAAATGTCAAACAATTGAGAAACCTTAGTAAGTATCTAATCGAGGCTACTTCTAAAAGAAAGTGTATACTTAATATCTGAGCAATCGTGTGTTTCAGCTTTGTGCCACTGACAATGATTATATACAGATTATATATTTTCTTTTGTATGTTGTCAACATTGCTATGATGTCATCTTTTATCTTACTCTATGTTCTCCGCAATCTTACATAAATGGATTGTAATATTTACTTGTATGTACATGAATATTGTAACTCCTATATGCTATCTGTTGTATTTGAAAATAAAGAAATTGAAATTGAAATACTTCGCATATGAGTTGTATATTGCGAGGACGCTAATTAAAGCCCCTAACAGTCCAGACCAAATCCCACGCGGTCAATACTCCTGTTAAACGTTTCTATCTCACGAAGTATTTCCTTGTTATAACCTCAGCTTCTATATATATAGCTATCTATGATATCCTACCTGTCATCATAACAACTTACCTGACCCCGTGGGTTCTTAGCCATAACATCAGCGCCCTTATGTCCCTTTTCAGAGAAGCTTATAAACTGTTTTTCTATGCCACCAAATCCCTTTTCTTCAATAGCAATCATTGCTCGCCAGCAGGGGTTACTTCCTGACCCCCAAATCAGCTTCATGTCCTCCTTGCCCATTGTAAACTAGCGATGAACTGTCTTATTGAACTGTCAGCGGACCGTATGATGAAGCCGGGGAAATGTGGCGGTACATATATTCAACCGGTGTCGAGTAAATGTGCTTATGTGATAATTTTGTTCCTTTCCCCAAACAGCTAGGTACGGGTAATTTAAGCATTTTTGTTGCGGCCGACAGGAACCTGTACACACCAAAACGTGTATGATTTAGAAAACACACACAAACACACACTACCCCTTTAATTATTTTCTACTTTTTTGAAGGCGAGCCTGAGCTATTGAAAAATATATATATTAGTGTTGGGAAAATGCACTTGTAAAGTGGCCGAGCGACTTTTCTGTATGCTCGGTGAGCAGATAGACTCGGCCGAAGGTGATGACCTGTTGTGCGTGACAATATCGAGTGTAGTGTACACTTGGTCAAGCCGCTATACGGACGTATTTTGCGTACTGTTGGTATGATCGTAGATTACACTCGCCGTTGCAGGCTAACCTTATAATAAACGTTCATATCACTTGTAGCTTCTTACTACAATATTTATCAAAATGAAACAATACGCTATGATAATGCAAAAACATGTCTCAAAATACTGATTTTACACTGTAGCATGTGATTTATATCCAACGTGTCACCCAGGTTAAATACATTTCTACCACATCAAATACTAGTGGTAATTTCTTGAAATGCAAACGTTGATTTCATAATTTCTATCATATCGGAGTATTGACAGGGGAATCCCTGGGATCTGTGTGGATAACTATGTATAATGGGGGAGCAACAATAATTAACACTTACTTATAAAAAGGTATATATTTCAATAGAAATCACAAAGATAAAGAGTCACCATAAAATAATCACATGGCAGAAAATATGTAACAGAAAACCAGTGATTATTGATATAATATACTGCTGTTATAAACATATCCCTTTGGACGGGCGATACCCGAAAGTGATTTATTTTTAAAAAAAAACTGAAATCGTTAGATTGTGTGCCTAAGTGAGAAAATAGGTAAAAAAAATACAAACGGAAATGTTTTCTCTTGTCGAAAGTAGCCGTCATGTTTCCGTGTGTCTATTTTGATTTAATGTTCAAAGAAAGATAACTCGAGTACACTAAACAGAAATTCTCCACAGTGGCAAAAACGAACTAAAGCTTCGTTTGGTATAAATAAAAAATAAAAAAAATTAGATCGTCAACTTAATTATCAAAACATTTTTATTGATTTTTCAATATGTCAACTTGAACGAATTTATGTAATTTTATAAATTCATTTAATTTTGTTTAGTTAGTTATACTAGAATCTGTTATTATTTTTTGTGCAGTCTTATATCGGTTTTGGTTGATGGTAAGTTATTTCTCATTTTGTTCTGTGTAAAATTGGTGAAAATTGGAAGTCCATTGCATTACAAGGCTTACGTGTCATTGCAAACAGTATTTATCGATAGAAGAATGTCTCATTCGCTCTTCGGAAGTGGAAAAAAATTGGCGAGGAGATGTGGCCTCATTTGTATACGACATTTTCGTACGTTTGTCAGACTACAAAAAAGACCGGTTCAGGAATGAAATATATAACTGTTCTTGCTAAAAAGTGTTTAAGCAAAACTTAATTCCCTGGTCCATAAAACGAGTATATATTTTGATAAAAATTCACAAGATTTACCGCGTTAAAACGCAAGAGTTACCGGCTAAAATGATCACCATGCATACTCGCATACCTTCTGCTATCAGCCAAGAGTAAACACTCCGGTTAAAAATCTGGACTTAAAATTTGGTCAGCTTTACCACAATTTATTACTCTGGCACTAAATATTTGAATGTCTCCTTATCTGGTCAAAGTACCGTAGAAAACATTAATCAACCAAAACGCTTTAAGATTCGTGTCCCGCGTAGCCGCGGTTATTCTTATATACAGTAACCTCCCCTTAATTTCCGTTTGGATATAACTGTAGCACGGTTCGGCCGGGACACTTCCGTAGACCATGGCCGTTTTCGTTTGTCGCGATCCAAACGGTTGAACCGGTTGTTCGTTTATAAAATAAGGTCGGACCCAGGATTCTGATGCAGTTTTCAGGCGATCTTTGACAATGCCTTGCAAGGCCTGCATAAACTTTTGTAAGTCCGCCAGGATTTATACCCGAAAATATTATGTTTACAAACGGACGTACCGGTTGTTCCGCATTAACGATCAGGTCCCTGGTAGCGCAATCGGAAAGACCGCTATAGTTCAACAATCTGAAGTCTGGGGTTCGAATTGCGGTCTGGACCCGCGGAACTTTTACATTCAGAAACATTTTCGTTGATTATATTTTGTTCATTTCATCTTAACCATTTCCCATGTTACACCCGCTGGTTAGATTTTCCTTTCAGAAATGGCTTATCAAAGCAATATTCAATCGGGAAAAGAGGGTTCCAAGAACTTATTAAAAGTTTTTTGCAATGTTACGGCGACCCTTAAATATATCAGATAGTAGCATTTAACCAAAATCTGTCAAAAAGCATTCTTAACACAATATGCTTCCACATTTTGCATACAATTATTTGAACTCATTAAAATATCATAAAAGCGATGCTTCCACATTTGTGCTTGGTCCTAATCGCCTGCTCGTTTATGATCCCGCATGTCATTATGGCCAGTTTAGTGTAGGCCTACCGGGCCAGAAAATGGACGCGTTAAAACGTGTATATATGGAGCACTCTGGTGAAACAACCACTTGAGATTGAAGAGCTATAAGTAAGATACCCCGACGCCATTTATTTCCGCGTTACACAATGAAATGTAACTTATATGCAGGGCTTTATACAAAATAACTAAATTATATAATTCAAAAAACACAGATTTAAATACACGCTATGATGCTTCCATACATTTTGCTCGTAAGGAACAAAGGCAAATCATATCATACATAATACACATGTGCCTAAGTCCTCAAAAGAATCGTTCTATAAAATACCCCTTTCAGACAATGATCTCCTTTTGTACGCGCAAGTCAATATATCATGCGTGCGGCTACTAAGCTATACTAGCCAACTACGTGTACGTCAGGCTCCAGTTTAACATGTCAGCTAGGTCAGAGGGATTTTTTTTTACCAAATGGACTTGAATTGAAATGCCTTACATATATATATAGGTATGAGCTAGCTGTCATATCCTAATTTCCTAAGCATGCATGTTCGTATGATTAGTGATGCTTTTTTCTAAATAAAATATAGCTTACTTCTACTTCGCATATATGAGCTGTATATTGCTAATTAAAGCCCCTAACAGTCCAGACCAAATCTCACGCGGTCAATACTCCTGTTAAACGTTTCTATCTCACGAAGTATTTCCTTGTTATAACCTCAGCTTCTATATATATAGCTATCTATTATATCCTACCTGTCATCATAACAACTTACCTGACCCCGTGGGTTCTTAGCCATAACATCAGCGCCCTTATGTCCCTTTTCAGAGAAGCTTATAAGCTTCTTTTCTATGTCACCAAATCCCTTTTCTTCGATAGCAATCATTGCTCGCCAGCAGGGGTTACTTCCTGACCCCCAAATCAGCTTCATATCCTCCTTGCCCATTGTAAACTAGCGATGAACTGTCTTACTGAACTGTTAGCGGACCGTATGAATGAAGCCGGGGAAATGTGGCGGTACATATATTCAACCGGTGTCGAGTAAATGTGTTTACGTCATAGTTTTGTTCCTATCCCCAAACAGCTAGGTACGGGTAATTTTAGAATTCGTGTTGCGTGCGACAGGAACCTGTACACACTTAAACCTGTGGGATTGAGAAAGAACACACACGCCACCCCTTTAATTAGTTTTTACTTGTTTGAAGGCGAGCCTGAGACATTCAAAACAATGTTTATATTAGTGCCGGTGTAACAGAAAATGCTGCACCCGGTAAATACTGTAACATTATAGCATGACTGGAAGCCCGACGATATTGATCAAACTGACACAATACGCTATGATAATGCAAAAACATGTCTCAAAATGCTGATTTTACACTGTACCATGTGATTTATATCCAATGCGTCACCCAGGTTAAACACATTTCTACCACATCAAATACTTTTCGGGGCGAAAGGACGACACAACGAGAGTTAAGGTTTCTTAATTTTCGTCCTATCATGAACATTTACTTATAAAAATATATATAATTCAATAAAAATCACAAAGATAAAGAGTCACCCTGAAATAATCACATGGCAGAGAAATATATAACAGAAAGCCAGTGATTATTGATATAATATACTGATGTTATAAACATACCCCTTTGGACGGGCGATAATCTAGTCGGGTAAGTATGTAAGGCAGGAATTCACAGAAGGACTTGGAGTGACACAGGAGAAAGGCAAATGCGGCACGGAATGTGATTGAACTTTAGAAAGGAGAAGGATATGTGTGTATAGATTAGGTATACTTCTTACGCCGACTCGATTAGAAAAATCACACACGCGATCTCAAGTAAACTCTCCGAATACATATTTAAAAACTATACGTTGGTGTCCCTAATCATATCATTACCTCTTTTGCTGTAACCCATCTTTAACATCTTATATATATATACATATATAAATTTGTATAAGGTTATTACGTGACACATTAATATTGTATATATATTTTCTGTTACGCAATAACTTTTGTCCAATCCATTTGTCTTTTGTTGCAATAAAATTGATTTAAACTAAACGGGCGATACCCGAAAGTTATTTATCGTAAAAAAAACACTGATATCGTTAGATTGTGTGCCTAACGGTAAGTGAGTTAAAAGGTAAAAAATACAAACGGAAATGTTTTATCTACCAATCGAGGTGAAAAAACAACAATGAGAAAAGCAGGCTGACAGAACGACAAAATGGCGGAATAGGTTCATCTCCGCTCAACAAGGTCATCCCTTTATTGACCCCTTTATACTACCTGGGCCACTTGTATAAAACATCTCAAAGTTAAGGAAAATATCAAGCAATGTATTGTCTATGGGTAAATCTTGAGGAGATCTCAAGAGTTGAGATGTTTATACAAGTGGGCCATGGTCTTTACATTAACTTAACAGGAATGTATGCCTTGCATGACAGTTAATCAACTCATTTACTTTATAATTACACAGGAAACATATTTTGGAATTTTAAAAAATATGTGATATTATTATCTTATCTGTTATATGCTACTACCTAATATAACAATTTTATATGTATATGTGTGTTATGTATCATAAGTCTTACGTATGTTGTAAATACAATATTGCATATTTTCATGTCGACCACATCTAAGATGACTCCTTGACTCAATATGTTGTCAACTTCAAATAAAGTCTATAACTCCTATTTATTATCATTATTAACAAATATTAAAACATTTTGTTGTCCGTATATCCTGAAAAGTTGTAAAATACTGTTAATCCAGAGTCCATGGTTCTTAAGAAGAAGTTACATGGCTGAGGAAACATTACAGACGGATTAACGCCACAGCATCGACTCACCTGCACTTCATGACTCACCTGCACTTAATGCTAGAAGAGGTAAAAATGTACATTCAAGATGAAGAAAGCACAAAAGTATGTCCAATGATTTAATTAAAATATATCCATACAATACTCAGATCACAAAACGTTAACAAGTTACAAACAAGTAATCTTATTTTTTATTTTGTGAAACTGATATTACTAATTTTAGAAGAAATTAAATAATTGATCATAACATCGATTATCTTTCCCCGCAACTTCTTTTCTTTAGACAGTGGACATCGTAAAGATTCTGAAACTGACCACTTGGTGAGAGAAAAAAATATTATTCTGAAAGTAATGCATACACCTAATTATTACTTATAAAACGCGTCTATTCAAATTTTGAAATAACATGTTTGGAAAATTTCTACAGAGTAAGATAGATTACTGTGCGTAATATGGAAAGCTGATCATTTGAAATACAAATATGCCTATTATGATTTTCAGTTGTAACGATTATGAAAATATTTTTCTTTTAAAGTGGTACGTATATAAAGCTTAATTAAACCCAGTCAATAAATAAAAAAAATAACAAAAGATGAAAATAATGAGATTAAAATAAATGTAAGATAATAATCCAGTCAAATGTCAGTAAGGCACTTTTTATCGAGTTCCATTTCTCCATCTTTCCAATGTGGCGGCCATGATTTCGCAATGCTGTTTCGTTTGCACAACTTTTCGTAGTAAGCTTTGAGCGCCGGAAAATCGCTGAGGGTACTGCCCATGCGCACCAAACCGGCCATATAGGTAAAGAGTACCACATCGACTAGAGTGAAACTGATTCCACAAACATAATCACTGTTTGACTGTTCGAACGAATCATAAGACGGAAAGCATGATTAAAAATGTATAAAGTTGATGTCATCTTCGAGAAGTTAGAATCAAAGCAAATGTATAAACACGGTTTTTAATTACAAAATTGAGAAAATATATTTGATTTATGCAAATTAATCCATACAGTATTTTCAAGACAAATGAAGTAAATCTTTTGACGCTAAGGGCCTTTTAAAGACAAAACAACCAACAAAAGGAAAATTAGGCCTGTATTACAAGGGAAACAAAATGGTACCACGCTGTTTGATATATATAAAGCTAAATAGAGATTTATACAGTTTTTAGCTAACCAAGACGTGCCCATGCAATGAGGTTTTGTTTAGAAACACGTTAATTCATAAAACTCATACTTATATATTTACATTCTGTATGCTTAGACCCATTGACAAAAATTACATTCATAAATGCATAACACAGGTGTTCATAGAATCTCAGCACGTGGGAACTGATAGTAACCTGACCACACTGCGTAGTAATACACTACAAAAAATACTCACTCGGAACGACCGACCTAGATGCTTAATTCTTACATCTTAAAATATTATTGAACTGTGCTTTGTGAAATATCCACGTATTCACGTGTCCTGTGCTACAAATAAACATTGAATATGGAACTACATTTTGTTGTGTTATTGTTGTTGACGGTTGCTAAGATCTCTCACGATAGTGTCACATTTCCCCGCTAAAAACACTGTTCTCGCCACTGCGTTGCACCCGTGTATAAGCAGGAACAAACCATGTTTATTTGTTTTATTCGTTGTTATATCGATCCACTGAAAGGATTCGTCAATGTAAATATAAGGAATGATATTTATTTTTTCAACATTTATGAGGTCATAACAACAATGGGTTTTTGGACATATTTTACATGAATCGCTAACGCGATTCATTCAATATGTCCATAAACCCATTGTTGTTATGACCTCATAAATGTTGAAAAAACAAAATTCATTCCTTAAATGAATTCATACGATTTGAAAAAAAATCGTACTAAGGTAAAAGTGCGATGCTGTTTCGAACAAAGCATTTGAGGGAACAGTCTTTCGTTGTTTTGATTACCTTGAGTTCACGGCTACAATAGAAACCGCTTGAGTAATAGCCAAATACTCATGTATGTATAATTCGGCATATGCTAATTAGAATAATAATTAAGATGTTTGCGTCATTGCAACCGCTAAGATCATGACGGTTTTCATTTTTCTCCTGACGAGAAGTTTCCCTTTCTTGATAGTAACCCTGATTTCCAAACCTTAGGTGCTAACATGTCACAATTCTTTGACCAAATTATTCTAAATTACTTTTGAAATATAAATGGGAGGAGCCTAAAACTAACGAGAATGTTAAAGATTATGGGTAAATGGCATGTCGTAATCATTACCTCTTTTGGAAATATTATATTTCTCGTGTGATACGAAGGTCGTTTGTTTTATGACGCCCATTAGTTGCCTTGTTATTTTGTTGTTACCAGCCTGGTTCTAATGTAAGGAACGACATTTTTGGATATGACCTAGAATACATGTTGTCTTACTTTCCTCGCGCTTTAAATGTCTCCATGTAATTTTTTTCCTAGTTCACGTTTTGTCCCAGTTCCATAGTTCATACTCCTCCATAATTTTGACTTCGTCAATTAATGGGATTTACGGAGTAAAGTAAGTCTTAGAAGTATGAAACAGCTGTATTTTACAGTGAAATTCATTTCTGATAAACTGTATCTACATGTAATACCAAGTTTTAAAGAGCGCAATCACTTCTGTGTGTTTTGTTCACCCTTCAAATTATAGTTTTGATGATGTTCCAGTGTTTGCTGTACAGGAAAGGGCTTCATAAAAGTGGAAAACATTGAAAACCTCTGAATGATTACGAGTTGAATGATTATGAGTTTGAATTCAACATTAGTTTGACTTTTTACCTTGCTCACTCGTTGCTCCCATATTGCAAGTTCTTCTTTTGCAGCTTTTATGTTACTTTTGACCGTTTTCTAAAAAAAAAAAAAGGAGTTACGATACAGGTCATACTAGAACGAAAACATTATGTTACAGGTGCTTTATTTATTTGTATTTTTCCCGAAACAAAGAAAAGTATGAAAAAAGAATGAACTGGTCAAACATCTCAAAAAGGATAAAAAAAAAAAGAAAGATGTTTACGTTTACATTATCATCTCTTTTGCACAGACGTCAAGAACACACCACACTATATGCATATGGAGATAAAAGTCTTGTTACTGTCACTGTGGGGATATTATTATTCATGTGTTGTAAAGCGGCTTGGCTTAGAATAATAATGCAAATTATATACATTGTAGGGCGCTCTATAAATGTTGTATATTATGTGATTTTATTTAATAATTACCGGTGGTTTTTTTTATCTGATCCATTTTTGTTTTATTTTATCTTTATTTCTTCATAAAACCTCAACAGAAACGGAAATATATCAACACCAGGTTAACAATATTACAGTGTGCTACCTTGGTCGTTTAAAAAATATATCTCAACAGTATGTAATAAAAACAAATATGCAAGAACTAAGTTTTCACAAATCCTCAAACCTAAATTATGCAAACTACATTTTTCGTGCCAGCTGGACTCATCTGATATCATTAAAGGTATATATCTTATTTCGTAATCATTCATTAATGACTAATGTACATGTATCATCTTCTTATACCGGTATTTGTATTTTTCTTTTATAACGTTTATCTTTCCTGTCAGCCCCAATCATCTAATAACAGATGTAAATACCTCATCATTCTTTCTGTTAGAAGGCATCTTTTTTGTCGACCGGAGTTCTCAAACAACAGACAATTTACAAAACTTAACGCTCTATCACCGGCATTCGTCTATTCTCTTGTTGGAAGGAGCTATCTCTTTTGTCGGACGCAGTCATCACATCACAGTAGATTTAAATACGTCTAATCTTCTTGTTGGTCATCCTTTTCCACGCTGGAGTCACATATCTTCTCGCTCATAGTCATTTCCCTTGTTGCTCGGAATCACCCAAACACTGTAAATGAACATACCCCATCTCCCTTTTCGGCCGGTAACCTCATCTCCCTAATCGACTGGATGTATCTACCTTAGCTGACAAGAACAACCTAGTAATAGTAAATATGCACACGTCCTCTCTTCAATTGGTCTGAGCCATCTTTTTTTTTGTCCGGAGTCATCTCTTCAGTCGGCCGGAGTCATCTCTTCAGTTGGCCGGAGTCATCTCTTCAGTCGGCCGGAGTCATCTCTTCAGTTGGCCAAAGTCATCTCTTCAGTTAGCCGGAGTCATCTCTGTAAATGGCCGGAGTCATCTCTTCAGTATGTCGGAGTCATCTCTTAGGTTGGCCGGAGTCATATCTTTTCAGTCGGCCGGAGTCATCTCTTTAGTTGGCCGGTGTCATCTCTTTAGTTGGCTGGAGTCATCTCTTCAGTCGTCCGGAGTCATCTCTTCAGTCGTCCGGAGTCATCTCTTTAGTTGGCCGGAGTCATCTCTTCAGTCGGCCGGAGTCATCTCTTCAGTTGGCCGGAGTCATCTCTCTAGTTGGCCGGAGTCATCTATTTTTCTGTCCGGAGTTATCACTTCAGTTGGCCGGAGTCATCTCTTCAGTTGGCCGGAGTCATCTATTTTTCTGTCCGGAGTTATCACATCAGTTGGCCGGAGTCATCTATTTTTCTGTCCGGAGTTATCACTTCAGTTGGCCGGAGTCATCTATTTTTCTGTCCGGAGTTATCACTTCAGTTGGCCGGAGTCATCTCTCTAGTTGGCCGGAGTCATCTCTTCATTCGGCCGGAGTCATCTCTCTAGTTGGCCGGAGTCATCTCTTTAGTTGGCCGGAGTCATCTCTTTTTCTGTCCGGAGTTATCACTTCAGTTGGCCGGAGTCATCATATAATACTAGCTGAACATAGAGTATAAGCTTTTCAACCATGGTCACCTGTCTAGCCGGAATCGTCTCTCTTGTTTGCCAAAGTCGTCAACCAATTGTAGATGTACACCCCTAATATCTCTTATCAACCGTACTCAACCAATAACATGTACATACCTCATCTCGCCTGTCGACTGGAGTTATCCGATGATAGTTTACGCAATTAACTATAATCTTCATATGGAGGTTCATCTCCGCCTGAGGGTCATTTTGAAAAACAAAATATGCATGTAGTTAGCTTACTCATTAGAAGAGTATTGCATTTAATACAGGATTCTTTCACCAAAGAATGCCCTAAATGGCCACATTGAAGCTTTACAATGCGTAAAAGATGAATATGTCAAGAGACAATGAAGATGGGAAGAATGGTTCCCCGTTTTAAAAGGAATCATACCATCATTTTTGCTATGTTAGGTATCCTTAAAGAAGTAATTTTCGATACTCCAGGGGTTACGCTCACTGTCGCTTTCTGCACCCCTGGAATATGTCATAGTAAAACTAAAGGCACGCGGCTAGCTATTTGATTGATCTCAGGTGAAAAAAGTCCTGACCAAACAGTTCGAGGAGCGGCACCCAACATCGCAGCTAGTAATTGTTACTGTTGAGTGACCGACAGATTATGTTGATATACATCAAAGGATCAAACTAGTTTTTTCCGCTCATCCACGATGTGTTGTATACTGAGCCTTCGATTTTGCTATGGCATATTCCAGGGATGCAGAGAGCAAAAGTGAGAGTAACCCGTAGAGCATTTAGGATGCAAAGAAGTCGGCACTGAAGTATAACCCCGCCGAACATTGAATGTGTGGATATGTTAGAACAAAAAGTACATCGTCACAACTCCTGAACTTAATAAAGTGAAGATTTATACTTACCTCTATGGCCATTTGTAACACTTTGGCGTAGTCCTTTGTTTCAGTTGGTAGAAGTTTGTTGCCATTATTAGGGTACGCTTGCTATAAATAGTAACATGATATATTGCTATGTACTGTTCAATATCAAATATCAATATAATGCACATATAGTGTCGAGAAACAGTAATACAATGGTTATTGGTAATGGACTAATATAGATGGTTTACACCAATGTGTGTATTTACGAGTGTTAGCTAAGTTTACTATGTATCCAGAATTGATATGTCAGACTGTTTAAAATGGGTGTGATACTGTATCTTTATTTAGGTTGGAATTTCACTCTTGTCATTCAAATTAGCACAAGACGAATTCATAAACAGGAGAAAAATGGTTCGTACGCATCATACAGATAATTGTGTTGAGGTTGAAGGGGCGTTATGTAAAACGATTGAAGCCGGGACATGCAAATATATCGATGTAGGCACGTATACTATTTGTTAGGTTGATGAGGTTACGGGTAGATATATTATATTTTGTTTATAAACAATAAACAATTGATAATGATTTTTATGCAAATAAACCATGCAGACGAGACTTATATTAAATATTATATTTTGTATCATCTCTACTTACCTCTAGATAAAGACATATGGCCATGGACTCGTTTACGACAATATCACCATCTTTGAATGTTGGAATCTGTCAAGAAAGTATTACAAATGTGTTATCGATGAAAAGTAAAATAACCGCCATGCTGAACTGAACTGGTTATAATGATATTGAAGTATGTGTATATGACGTTCATAACCAGCCAATGAATAACAGTAACATTTATTGAATTGCGTTACACACACTGTTGGTATCATTACTTGTTGCCACGGCTTGTGTTTCTAAATAAAACTGCCTCGTTTCGAAATCGTCACGTGACGTTATTCGCGCTTTATTTAATGGGACATTCAATAACTGAAAAACAAATGTTTTGACGGTATGTCACTTCAATGACTCCGTCTGATAGAGTACGTTCAACTCCAAACAAATAAATAAACAAAACCACATCTGCGCTTGCGCACACACCTAAAGAGGGAGAACACAAATCAGCCGGTAGTAATAGACCTATTAACTTAACTTGTATATGTTGTAAAGTACTAGAAACAATTGTAAGGGAAACCATAATAATAACTTGCAGATCAATAAATTATTCAGCAAGGGATAATTTGGATTCATCCAAGGAAGGTCCACCGTTCTACAATTAATCCAAGTTATTGACGACTGGATGGTTATACTTGATACAGGAGGTTACATTGATGTACTAATGCATAGTGACTTTATGAAGGCATTCGACAAAGTTCCCCACCAGCGACTCATTCATAAAATGAGCATGCACGGTTTTACCGGTAAAATTACGAGCTGGATAAAGGCTATACTTTTAAATCGCAAACAACGTGTAACAGTAAATGGAGGCGCATCAAGCTGGAAGGAGGTTAACAGTGGCATTCCGCATGGATCAGTACTAGGACCAGTTCTATTTGTTTTAATGACCTCCCATATGTAACAAGTGTGGATACAACAACATACCTATTTGCAGATGATACAAATTATACCGTCCAATATTCATCACTCAGGATTGCGAGCGTCTACAAGAAGTGGCTTCTGTTCTTCGATTGAAATAAATGCAAAGCCATGCGGATTGGTAAAAATGACACATACATTTTAGAAGATGGAAAAGAACTCCCATATACCGAAACTAAAAGAGATATTAGAGTCACTATCGACAATAAACTATCATTCAATGTCCATATTTCTGAAAAACTAAACAAAGCCAATTCAATCATGGGGGTGATCAGAAGAACAATGGAGTATATGGATCACTTTTCATTTACAGCGCTATACAAAGGTGTGGTGAGACCACATCTAGAGTATGCTAACCAGGTCTGGAGTCCGCATCTGATCAAACACGTATAATCGATAGAAAGCGTACAAAGGAGAGCTACCAAGCTAATACCAGGAATGGCTCATTTATCTTACCTAGAAAGACTGCAACATCTGAAACGGCCAACTTTGGCCCAAAGAAGAGCCAGGGAGACATGATAGAGCTTAATAAAATCATGACAGGGAAATATGATCCTGAGGTGTCTATATTTATTTCACCTTTCCGTAGTACCATCACCACGAGGGGACATGTACTGAAAATAGAAAAACAAAGAACGCGCCTTAACATCAGGAAACATTCCTACCTCCACCGAACCGTGGACATACGGAACAGTCTGCCATCAGAGGTTGTAACGTCACAAACTGTTCGAACATTCGAATCTAGACTTGATCACCATTGGAAGAACCAGCCACTTATCTATAACCACAGGGATCCTATTAAGGCCAAGATAATTTAATTTAACAAGAAGCAAACACTCATATAACATATATATGAGAACATAGTATACCAACATTAAATTTGAACTACTAACTTGTGTGTACCTGAAATATAATAAAATGTACAGATAATGGTTAATTTATGAACTTACCATAACAGAGCTGTGACATTATCAGAAATGGACTTGCAAATATTATCATAAATCATGTTTTTATCAATAATATCAACCCATCTTTATTTACATAACAGAGCTGACAGCAGAGGAAGTGTAAACATTCCTATAGTCAGAATATAATCTGTGTATCTGTGTATCTGTGTAAAAACCTGAAATAGACATACACAATAACGTTTCGACCTATGTTGATGAAATAAGGTTTGACGGTTTTTAGGGCTATGATCAATTGTTTTAAAAAGAAACGTATATTGAATGTTTTGTTAAATGCAAAATAGGTAATGCTCTGCAAAAATATCATTTGTAGGTGCCTGAGTGTGCGCATATGTGAACTGGAAATAGCCATAAATCTTAAAACTTTTGACACATATTGAAAGAAATTGGTTTTGGAGCAAAGTATAATATGCTTTACAATAATGTGTACTGAGATATTCATTGTATTTACCGTGTGCACACACATGCAAATGGGATGTATCTATATTTCTTCAACCCTCAGAAAAACATTGAAAACATGTTGTATTAAGCAAATACCTGAATGTATTTCGGCGCCACTATTTGTCAACGTAACTCATCTTCAGAAACTCTATATATGTTTATGTTGGTGCATTAAGGATATTTATGCATATATTTTACTACCATTTTTGTATCAAAATATCTCAACTTTAAGACTTTCTATTTTTATGTTGATGTATTAAGGACATTTATGCATATCTTTTACTACCATTTTTGTATCAAAATATCTCAACTTTAAGAACTCTATATAGTGATGCATTAAGCAAATACACATTTGTTTATCACCTGCGTTAATGTATCAGAATTTATTCGCTGATTTATATTATATGAAATATTCTCTATGTTAATGCGTTAAACATATACATAATGCATTTCACTTTTACTAATGTATCCCAACTGTAAGTTTGCTCTTTGTATAGATATTTGATGCATCATGGACTTACAAACATGTTTTATTTCCACTTAAAGTACTAAATTTATCTTTTGAATTTTGCATAAACATGTGATGCATTAAGGCTATTCTAGGCGCTTTCAATGAAAGCAGGTGTCACTACAATAAGGGTATAATGTACCTTCCACAAGTGATGTATTACGTATACACATGAATATGCTGAATGCTATTTTGACGCATTAAGACACGTTGATGCATTATGGGGGGGGGGGGGTCTAACATACCTGTAATCATAACAACTTACCTGACCCCTTGGATTTAAAGCCATAACGTCGGGGCCTTTATGACCCTTTTCAGAGAAGTTAATGTGTGTTTTTTCTATGTCTCCGAATCCCTTTTCTTCCAGAGCAATCATTGCTCGCCAGCAGGGTCCACTTCCTGACCCCCAAAACAGCTGCATGTCCTCCTTGCCCATTGTAAACTAGTGATGAACGTTCTAAACTTTCAGCAGCAAAGATATATATATATATATATCGACCTATGACGTGTGAATTTCGTCAACCTCTTTTTCGTTTCTGTCCACAGATAAATATGAAAATAAGTATATAGTTAAAAGTTGTCTATACAGGGACAATTTTTTACTGTCCCTGTATGATCTAACAATGTACTTAAATCATGCCATGTAACAGATGAGATTGACGTAGGAGGCTTTTGTTTATGTATTATCTGAATCCACAGATGGTTCACCACTTAAAGTAGTCACATACGACTCCAATAAATGTAAATAAACTTGTTTGAAGTAATAATATAACTACGAGGGCCTAGCAAAAATTCTGTCACCATATAGCTCCCAGAGCATCGGCAATAAAAATGTATAACACCTTGGCAGACTGCAATAGCATTAAGAGAACAATGCACGTACAAAATGTCTTCACCATCCGACAAGAATTACAAGTTATTAGCTGTTGAATGGTATGTACTAGTGACTAGTGGCTACTTTTCAATGCTAAAATTGAGGATGAGACCAAATCTGAAAACGCTCCAAAATAAAGCACGTTGTGCTTTACAGATATCGCCAAATTAGATTCATTCAGAGTTGTGCAGCATAAAAGGCACCTCTGCCGTCACATTTAAAACTGTTTTCAGGTGGGTGAAAAAAATCAGTAATGGTAATGCAGCATCAATAAAACAAATTGATGCTGTGAAATCAATTATTAAGGAAGATGGTCATCATACTGATTCTGAGAGAGCTCATATGGTTGGCAGTACACATCACATTCCTAATTCACATTTGACCAAGTGCTTGCAGTTAAAGAGTTTTGTGTCCGATGGAACCCCAATTTGTTGACATCTGAAAAGAAGGCCAAACCTTTGAAATGTGCTAAACGTATTTAGCATATGTACTGTAAGCGCGATTTAAGAAAATTATCTGTGTTACTTACAGGGGTTGGGACATGGATCTATTTCTATGAACACACAAGAGGCGCATTAATAACAAGCAAAGGTTGTCGAGAACTCAAGAAAGACCAGTGATTGCAAGACGAATTAAAAGCGCCAAGAAAGTTTCGTATGTCACTTTTTTTCAATTCTAATGGGAATGTGAAAAGCAATATTGTTCAGACGTTTTTGAAGCAAGAGAGGGTAGTACCGATTGACCTGTCACTCTATTCACCAGATCTGAGTCCCCGTGACTTCTTCTCCTGTTTCATATACCAAAGAAAATGCTCGTTGGGAAGCGGTATGCTTGGGTAGTGCGATCTTCCAGTGTCTCGCCAGTATACCGAGGGGAGACTACCTCACAGCGTGTGCATCATGGATAGCGCGATTGTGAAAGTGCGTCCCTGCTAAGAGGGGATAATTCAAAGGATTGTAATAGAAAGATCAAACGTTATACGTCATACATGCGATTAACGAATCTAGTGACAGAATTTATTGAATGGCACTCGTATTTGTCAATAGAGTACATAAACATGGTATATTTTTATAACAAATATGAATTTCTCGATTTTGTTTTATTCTTTTTAAGATTTGAGAAATTGAACGCAATTCATTGTGATATTATTTAGACTAACCAATCAACACAAATCGGGATTGATTCTACAAGGACAAATACATGATATATGGCCATAGAGTCTAGCCTTACATGTTAGAGTTATGACATAACTGTTTATGACTACTAACGATTTCGGGGGCGATATGACATCCTTATCTCGACTATTGCCTCGATAAAGATTCATGTCAGCCAATCAGTTTTGATCATTACAATAAATCACCGCTTTTACTGTTCTGAAATAAATCTACATATTCCGTTTTTGATTCGTAAATGAATATGCACGACATTGTTGACAGATGTTAGATTCCGGTTATATAAGTTTTTTGTGTATGTCCCATGTTTCAATTCGAGAATGGGTAATTAATAAACGACGAACTTTCATTCCTGTTCCTGGTCCGCATAAAAAGTTACATAAAATTTTCTATTAAATTTCAAACAAGATAGAAAAAGACTTTTATTTTATTTTATATTTTAAATGTTACTGATTATTTCTAAATGTTACTGATTAAGCAAAATTTAAACGGATTAACGGTCTATATCACAAATGAATGAATATGCCTTGTGAACGAGATAATAATCTATGTAGTTACTTTTCCCTGCTACATAAGTCAGAAACAGTGTTGTTTTTTGTTGAATTCAGACCTAACATATGGTTGCCTCGAACATGATCCATGAATAAAAAACTGGCAACTAGTTTTGATAATGTATAGTGATTTTTTTAAAAGCGTACATGGATTTTGAAAGTGTTATGATATTCAATAAATACAGTGTTTTTTATATTGTGACGATTTTCTAATAATGACAGGAGTTCTGACAGTATATGGATTTTTATCTTTTCTTTCTTCTTGTGTAAAATGACTTTTTAACATTGTATGGAAATTGTTTAATTGTATGGTCATTTTCTAACAGTTTTACAAGTATTTTGATAATATATATGGTGATTTTCTACCAGTCAACCGAGATTTTGATAGTGTGTGATGATTTCCTAATTGTGTTCGGGAATATTTGATAGGTTGATAGTGTGATAATTATTTAATAGTATATAGGGTAGTTGATCATGTATGGTGAGTATTTAACCGTGAAAGGGGTTTTTGAAACTGTATGGTGATTTTCTAAGTGTGCAGGGATTTTTATATCTAATGGTTTTTTAATAATGTACAGGGACTTTTACAGTGTGTAGATTGTCTAATAGTAAACAGTGATTTTTTTTGTGATGATTTTCTAATAGTGTGCAGATATTTTGACAGATAATGATTTTCTAATAATGTATAGTTATTTTTATAGTGCGATGATTTTCTAATAATGCACAGTTTTTTTTATATTGTGATGATTTTCTAACAGTAAACAGTGATTTTTATATTGTGATGATTTTCTAATAGTATACAGTTTTTTATGTTGTGATGATTTTCTAACAGTATACAGTGTTTTTTATGTTGTGATGATTTTCTTACAGTATACAGTGTTTTTTATATTGTGATGATTTTCTAACAGTATACAGTGTTTTTTATGTTGTGATGATTTTCTTACAGTATACAGTGTTTTTTTATATTGTGATGATTTTCTAACAGTACACAGTGGTTTTTATATTGTGATGATTTTCTAATAGTATATAGTGATTTTTATATTGTGATGATTTTCTAATAGTATAGTATTTTTTATATTGTGATGATTTTCTAACAGTATAAAGTGTTTTTTATGTTGTGATGATTTTCTAACAGTATACAGTGTTTTTTTATATTGTGATGATTTTCTAACAGTGTACAGTGATTTTTATATTGTGATTATTTTCTAATAGTGCACAGTGATTTTTATATTGTGTTGATTTTCTAATAGTATATAGTGATTTTGATATTGTGATGACTTTCTTATGGTATACAGACACTCTTAATAGTGTGATGATTTTCTAATAGTTTACAGTGATTTTAATATTGTGATTATTTTCTAATAGTTAAAACTATTTTGATAGTGTGATGATTTTCTAATAGTGAACAGGAATGTTAATAATTGATGATGATTTTCAACGTGTGTAAAAGGATGTTTAGCATTGTTGGGTGATTTGAAGCTTGAAGCCACCCTCGGGTTAGACAACAAAGAATATCTGATATGTGGATGAGATTTCTCATTCATATACTAAGTAAGGGGAGGATTCTATTGACCACATTTCAACCAAATTCGCCTTGAAGCGTCCTCAGAGGAAGAATGTGGTCTCCTTTAATAAGAATACTGCAACAAATGCTGAAATGTCCAAGTACGAGAAACTGACCATCATCCTCTTTATTTTACTTTTTTTATGATGTCCAGATTTACAAGGTTCCATTGGATCTTTGTTATTTTTCTTTTTTATGATGTCCAGATTTACCAGGTTCCATTTGATCTTTGTTATTTTTATTTGTTATGATATCCAGATTTACAAGGTTTTGTTATTTTACTTTTTTATGATGTCCAGATTTACCAGGTTCCATTGGATCTTTGTTATTTTTATTTGTTATGATGTCCAGATTTACAAGGTTCCATTGGATCTTTGTTATTTTACTTTTTTATGATGTCCAGATGTACACGGTTCCATTGGATCTTTGTTATTTTACTTTTTTATGATGTCCAGATGTACACGGTTCCATTGGATCTTTGTTATTTTACTTTTTTATGATGTCCAGATTTACAAGGTTTTGTTATTTTACTTTTTTATGATGTCCAGATTTACCAGGTTCCATTGGATCTTTGTTATTTTTATTTGTTATGATGTCCAGATGTACAAGATTCCATTGGACCTTTGTTATTTTACTTTTTTATGATGTCCAGATGTACAAGGTTCCATTGGATCTTTGTTATTTTACTTTTTTTATGATGTCCAGATTTACAAAGTTCCATTGGATCTTTGTTATTTTACTTTTTTATGATGTCCAGATGTACAAGGTTTCATTGGATCTTTGTTATTTTTATTTGTTATGATGTCCAGATGTACAAGATTCCATTGGACCTTTGTTATTTTACTTTTTTATGATGTCCAGATGTACACGGTTCCATTGGATCTTTGTTATTTTACTTTTTTATGATGTCCAGATGTACAAGGTTCCATTGGATCTTTGTTATTTTTATATGTTATGATGTCCAGATTTACAAGGTTCCACAGGAACAGGTTTTCGGTACATAACTCTTGCAAGGAATAAACTGGATTGCCTGCCGTATATTTTGTTCTTCGTTCTGGTAGATTTCACTACGAAAACACATCGAAGAGTGTAGCCTAACGGAGAGAAATGGTATTAAGACAGGTAATCCGATCTATCACAAGACGTTCCGTCACACACACCAACCATTTACCTGAAGACTAGTTTTACGATGAGGACTGAATAACGACTCAACGTATGAGGAAAACATTAACCCATTCACCCCTGAAATTCCGTAATGAATTATTCCAACCTTTGAATTGGAAGAGTTCAAATGTGTCTTCAGGGGTGAATGAGTTAAGAATGTGATGACTTAAAAAAAAACAGGGATCTTGGCGCCCACCATTGTACCATCTTCATCAGTTCTTTGTCAGTTCGATCTTTTCTCTTCTTTTCTCGATAATCTGTTAGATCGAGTCATGTTAACAGTAAATGCACATTGAGGTAACTTTTGATCTAAACTTAATACTGATGTGTGTAAAAGCCAACCTTCAAAGTGAGTTTGTCATTTTCGATTTATCCAAAATAAAAGAAGGAAAAAAATTAATAATCTTTCAATAAAATGGGGTGATTCTGTATTATAGGAATATACATAACAAATATTCGATATATCGGGTATACATATATTTTATTTTCTCGGTAACATAGTAATGCTCCCGAATTCAATGGTACCCATCGTACATAGCCGGTCAACATTAACATGACACCCTCTCAGATAAAAACAAAAACCTGAAGCATTGACTTCTCTTCAGTGAGCTTGCAGCTAGTGCCACTTATCTTACTCAAATAAATGGATGGCACTGAAATCCCACTGATATAAGGCACGGCCTAAACCTGGATTCCTGGCCAATCATATCGCATAACAACACTTGAGTTACATACTTTTTGAGAAGGGAAAAAATATAATTGAAAACGATGAATATCGACCTACTAACACTAGTACTGCCACAACAACCATCACATAACAATACTGTTGTAACAACGTGACATCTTAAACCCAAATAATGGCAACGATATAGTTTAATGCCATTTCTTAAATACGTTCAGGAGTTATCAAATACTGATTTCTATCTCAATCAAAAATACCAAAATTGATACATATATGTGTGTAATGCTGCTCATGAAATCGGAAACTGCCGCGCACTTTCGGTAAAGGAGATAAAAGTGTCAACAGTTCAGGATTGGATGTTCTGTATGCAATATTGTGTTGTAAAGGGGCAGCAATGCATCTTGATCAACAATGCTTTTAAATCTGTATCACCAAGACGCTTGAAAGAGTTGAGATACAATTCCAAGAAATTGTTTCAAATCTACAAAAAATGATATGGCCTTCTACGTGTTTACGTACTTCATATGACCTTGAACCATGCTATATATGAATTATACGCAGGATGTATGTGTTTTAGCAGCGTTACTGTGAAGAGTCAAGGTCATATTAAGGTGAAAGCGAATATTCCTGCAAGTCAGCAAGTGTACCAAAATCATTTTTTAACCATTACATTTATGACAATTGAAAATGAAATGCTCAAATGGATCAGGCAAAATGAAATGAAATCATTTAAATTAGCTTTCACTACAGCGGATGGAAATCTGATTACAAAAATGAAAGATAAAATATCACTAGATTTTAAATCAAACCAATTTAAACCCTGTTAAAATGCCTTCAATTGGTGAAAGTAATCTACCTCATGTATACATCTAACATAGATGAAATCGCAATGTTATGGTGTCATTTACATCGTCCTAGAAATTCCATGTGCTATGCTTCCTCACCATCTTTTCAAACCTGAAATATGGCATAACGAAGTTAAAGGCTTAATTAGTATGCACAAACGAACAAGAGGCCCAGATGGCCTGTATCGCTCACCTGGATATCTAAGTAATCATGGCAAAATATTCTCCAAATGAGATCCAAGGTAATATGCCAGATCCGTATGCCAATTCCTGTAGTATGTCTGTATGAGATTTTTCATGCCCAGCAATTTAATGTATGGTTATGGGGTGGGGATCTCAACAGTTTCCAAGTTGCGACTCAGAAACTAGATCCCTAGGGTTGTGGCCAGACCCCAGGATCAATTCTAATATCATGACTGCATTCGTCTCTTTTTGTCCAGCATTTGTATTTATAGTCTGCTGGTGGGGATCTCAACCGTTTCAAAGTTATGACCCAGGGGTTAAGTCTGCAAGGGTAGGGCAGACCCACGGGTCAATTCTAATATCATGACTGCATTCGTCTCTTTATGCCCAACAATTGTATATATAGTTTTGGTGTGGGGATCTTAACCATTTCGAAGTTATGACCCAGGGGTTAAGTCTCCTAGGGTGGGGCAGACCCCAAGGCTATCCTGGAAGCATATGTGCATTCATCTCTTTATACTCAGCAATTGTATCTATGCATGGTTATAGGGTGGGGATCTCAACTGTTTCCAAACTGTGACTTAAGAAACTAGGTCCCTAGGGGTTCAGTTAGACCCCAGGGTCTATTCTAATACCATGACTACTTTTGTCTCTTTATGCCAAGCATATATATAGTTCTGGGGTGGGGATCTCAACCGCTTCAAAGTTATGACCCAGGGACAATGTCTCAAAGGGTGCAACCAGACCCTAGGCCATACTGGAAGCAAATGTGCATTCTTCTCTTTATACTCCACAATTGTATATATGGTTATACCGTGGGAATCTCAACCATTTCCAAGTTATGAACTTTTGTTGACCCCACCCTTTAGCACGGGGGGGGGGGGNACCTTTGGACCAGGTGAGCTAAAAATGAATGATAAAATATCACTAGATTTTAAATACGAACCAATTTTTCACAAAACGTATGACAACATTCTATCTAGTGTGCAACCCTTTGTTAAAATGCCTTCAATTGGTGAAAGTAATCTACCTCATGTGTACATCTAACATAGATGAAATCGCAATGCATGTGATGTCATTTACATTGTCCTAGAAATTCCATGCTTCCTCACCATCTTTTCAAACCTGAAATATGTCATGACGAATTTTAAGGCTCAGCATGCACAAACTGGTGTATGATACAAGCAAACTGGTTTAATCCTTTTGATGTACATCGAAAGAATCACTCAGTAGCGTAACGGTAAAATTAACCCGCTTTGAATCCAGTTGCTGGTCCTCTCTCAGCTTAATTTAAAGGACAGATATCAGCCTAGCAATTAGTCAGATTTTTTTTACCAGAAACCAACCAAATGGCTTACCATGGTAGGGCTTCGATTTAGTCATGACCTATTCCAGGGGTGAAGAGAATGTAAGGGTGTATAACCCCTGCAATTTACAGGATCATTTACATTGACAAGTGCAGTGGGATAATGACGAACAACGTCGTGGTCGCACAGCAAAAGTGAAACAGTCTATTGATACATTAAAACCTCATCTGTAATTCTTCATAAAACGTCATGCAGATCGATTCAAGGAGGGAGGGAAAATTAAAACAAAAAAATATCACGGATTAATAACATGATAAATATGTAAAAACAATATAGACTTAAAATACAGGAACAATCTTATTGCTTGAAATAGGTTCAAATATTGACAATTAAAACAAAATGTTAAAGAAAATTAAAAGTAGCTGTTGCTTTTCAGCTCAGCTTAATAATAAATGTATCGGAGTAAAGTCGTCAGGAAGAGGTTTAAAAAAGAATGAACAAAATTACTGGTACTTTCAAATTAGTACTTTTACATGGGAAAAAATTTGATACATTTAATATAACACTGATTTTCTAATTCTCATTGAGTATTTTTCTTCTTCCTTTTTTCTCAGCTCAAAATATGATGCTATATCCTTACTGGAAAATCTAAATAAAAATGCTTCCGATCAACTACCTCGCACAAAGAATTCCAATCAACTACCTCGCACAAAGAATTCCGATCAACTACCTCGCACAAAGAAATCCGATCAACTACCTCGCACAAAGAATTCCAATCAACTACCTCGCACAAAGAAACAAAACAAGTGTTCCTGTTCCTTAACAAAAGTCTGGTCTATAGACACTATAAACCTATAGGAAAGGCCAAAACAAATATATGTGTGTTTCAGGTATCCTGATCTAACCTCGGTCATCCTGTCAAACCTGGATATTTTATCACCTGCTTGTATCTAAGGTTAATTAATTAGTCGGGCAAAGCTCACAGCCACTCATTAAAATGTACTTTCTTCCTGTTCAGGGAGTCTGACCCTATTCGTGACAAATTACCATTGTAATATGTGGAAATGTATTGTGAAGTTTGATATAAACAGGTCAACCTATCCTATTTTTTTCAGGCATGTTACCTGAAACAGACACATTATTTTGTTTGGCCTTATCACAGATAAAACAAAGCGACAACAACAAATATTTTAACAGCGAATTCATGCAAATATAACTTATCTCCTGAATCTGAACTCACTCTGTAACAAAATTCTCCAACAAATCCATAAACATGATAAAAAGTTAAAATAGCATCTATATACATTAAAGCTCATGTCTTTAATATGATTGTGGCATTTTTGGATTTAGCAATTAATGATAATATGTACAATAAACATCTTTGTTGGTGACAACCAAATTAATAATGATTTAATCTAAGTACTTTTCATCGAGTTCATTCTCCTATTGGCAATTTTATATTTTAGACACAATTGTGCTGATTCAAAAGCGCAAAGTTATGACAACTAATAAACATAAACACACTGTGTTCTGTATTTACAGACAGCTGTTGTGCTAACATGCGATGCGTGTATTGTGATCACTGATGCTTGCAAAATATGACAGTCCTATCAAAGTTTTACTTTATACACAAACAATGTATATATTAAACTTGTCGCAATGTTTCAACAACCAATGGTCCCTTTGTCAAGCTTTGAGTAAGCTTGACAAAGGGACCAGTCGATCGTGAAACGTTTGTGAGTTTGTTTAACCCTTTCACCACTGTAGACCATAATGGACTCACCCAGATAAATGTATGGTAGAGTCTACTAAAGTTACATAGGGGTGAAAGGGTTAATAGGTATTGCTTGTGTGTCAAGTAAAACTTTAATATTACATATTCCCAGACTGAAGAACCTTATTGATGACTGCCCTAATTTAAGTACAGTATGTATTTCGTGAAATGAGAATATTGCTGAAAAACATATAAGAAGACAGGTATGTTCCCTTTCTACCATTCATGTGTGAGTGATAACTTGCCTTACCACAATGACTCAAACTTTCAACTACGTGAAAATAAGGAAGGTTTTAAGAAAAAATACTCCAGTAAACTAGGCAGGAAGCAACCGTACGATCTGTGACAAAATTTGCCCTCAGAAATTGTTCATTTAGATGCCTTAGAGATGATAATAAGCATATACATTTTAAATGCATTATATAAGGGACACATGACTATTTGCAACCACAATTTGGTTTTTTTGAAATAGCATTTCATGTTAACCATTCCAGAACTCCAGCTTTGATGTTAACCCTTTCACCACTGTAGACCATAATGGACTCATCCAGATCAATGCATGGTAGAGTCTACTTAAGTTACATAGGGGTGAAAGGGTTACACTTGATCAACATACAATGCAAAGAAATTACTCTTATGTATTCAAATATGAATTTTAATTTAAACTTTTTTGTACCTGTCAATCTTTTCAGCACTAACCCCAGGCTTGATGAAAAAAGGGCATTATTTCACATTTGAGCTGCATGATTGCAAAGTTAGTTGGCAAAACTCTATTTGAGTAAGCTGATGGTTATGATGTTCCAAGGTACCGATGTGAATGGCTTTGATTGTATGATGACAGTATCAAGTTGTGATATGCAAAAGAGGGACTTTGCGGAAGTGAAAGAGTCTAAATAATATATTCAGATTAATTTTAAAACACAAAGTTAATAATGAGAGCCAAATTAAAGATATGATATGTTCACATCAAAATTTAGTAATAATTCAATAGGGATTGATATTTTAAAAAGAAAAATGTTGTAAAAAATCAGCAAAGTTTGTTTTAACATGACAAACTTCATCAACAGCCCTCAATTAAAAACACAAGTATGATATTAAATGGTGTGGTTTGAATGTATTTAAGGATATACCCTACCTCACACTTTATACCAATGTTATGTGTTCAAGTTATTTCCCTCACAAATTATACCCGTGATTTTGTGTTAGAGTTATCCCCCTTACATATCATACCTGTGATTATTGGTTAGTTTTCTCCCTTCCATAATCTACCTGTGATTTGTATTAAACTTATATATCATACCTGTGACTTGTTGTTAGTTATCTCCCTTACGTATTATACCTGTGATTTGTATAAAATTATTTCAAATGAGAAAGTCTTTAAATTAAGTCCAGATAACCAATTATAAAACATGTTTCTGTAATGTGTATCAACACAATTTCACTGGTACATTGATTTATACTGTTTAGTATCGCAAAACAATATCACCGACACATTAGTCTCTTACACTTCCTGTATTCGGGACATCTTATTGGCGTTACAACCTAATTCTTTTGTTAATGTAAAAATTGTTGTTTAACATTTAATACTTCCGAGGGAAAACATATATTGAAGAAATATAAATGAGAGTACTAACACACATTAGTGTACAGAAGAAAATATGTCATCTTGTAATCTCTTATTGTTAAATTCTATTGGGAAAGGGATTTATATAAGTTAGAACCTTGTACCCAATCCCAATATATATATTTTGATACAAATAAAATGTGTTTAAATAAAAATAAAAATAAAATACAGCAAATAGGACGAAGCTGAAGGTCATTGACCACGCCAGTTAAATTTTCAAAATTTCATTTTTGTAATTTCAAAATTCATTTTTCCTTACGCATCTTTTAACGTGTGTTTTGGTTACCATTAAATTAATTATCAAAACATTAATCAAATTGAACATTTTTCTTGATATAAACATCACTAATATGGTAAGTTTTGACATAGCTGAGACCCGTATATCCCTTTACCAGTTTTGGAAAAAATAATTATGGACTTTTGGTGCAGATGAAACAGGTTTTACCACATAATCTATAGTATACACTTGCCCCCTCACATCCGACAATAAAACCGAAAGCTATAGCCTATTGAATACTTTCATGATAGAACACATTCAATTCCTTTCAGGAAACCTTAGCCAAACCCTGAAATAATATTTAAAAGGGTTTGAGGGTAGAATGTGCTTACAGACCATTCTCAGAAACCATAACAAATTTCTTACGTATTAAATACGTAAGAAATAACATGTAACAGAGACAATGAATACACCAAATCATATACTGAACATAGTGTTTCATGCCAAGCAAACATTCATAACTTCTTATTTAATCATATAGGAAATTCCTGAAACAAATTCATCATGTAATTTCACTTTAGCACTATTTTTGATTATCTCCTATAATGAAAATGTATAGAGGAGACATATGAATTCATTTTGAACAACATTGATTAAGTCGTGAAATTTGATCAAAACTCCTGATGCCTTTTCCCTGCTCAAATTCTTAATTTATACAATTTTACATCATTAGATCTCTGAAGGGGCCATAACTATATATTTCTGTACATAATTACAGAAACTTACTTTCATTTTTATTTTTGAAATAATGTACAAATTCAATCATGATTATTTTAAGTACATAAGTAGCAACCTTTGAAAAAGAAAATATGTTACAATGCAAATTTAACAATATTTCCCTTATAATTTTAATTAAATTGTTAATAGGTAAACTATTAATCATGATCACTCATTTTTTTCTAAATACATATTTTTCCAATACCGTATCATCAGGTCTCCAAGAAATTTGATCACTACATGCCTCGAAAGAGAGCTGATCATGAAAATTCAAATACCTTGTAAATATCAGACACATTTAGCTTATTCACCCCCTGAAATTTCACAATGAACTATTCAAACTTTTGAATTGGAGGAGTTCAAATTTGTCTGCAGGGGTGAATGAGTTAATCAAGTGGATAGACATTTCTTATTTTTTCTTCCACACAAAGTCCTCAGAAATAAGTTATTCAAAAGGCAATAACGATAATGTGTATTGACAAAAATTCAGTGATTTATAAAATGACCAAACTCCTAGCATATACTCCTTAGCTGTACAGATACGATGAAATGCTCCTTGGGGCATCATATAAATACACGATAATCAATTACAAATAAGCATTCACACTTTCCTAAATCCAGCCTTCATCAATCAAAAGAGAACAGTACGTCCTTGTTGCTAGCGCTCTTGAGATTTTCTGACTTTTTGAAATCTATTTGAGCGTATGATAACGTTGGACCAGCTGATTGTTCATCAGCAGATGAGTGCCGACTTTTGATTCGTGGGGACTTGGGGTCGTTACTGTCGACCGTCTCCGACGACCCTAAATCCAATGAAGCATAGTTCAACTGTGCACAGGCCGGTGGCGCCAGCTGTTGTTGTGATGATGACTGTTGTTGTGTTGATGCTAGGTCGTTTCCCGATGGGTAAGTCATTTGCTCATATGCCCCCGTGAGGTCCGAACAACTGTGGCGACTCCTAGGATTGTTGAAGAAACCTGCTGTACCGATTGCCACGCTCGGAGCTGGTGCCTCATCAGCGACTGGCAGAGTCATGCACGGCATGCTCTTCTGCTTGTGGAGTTCTGAACACGCTGAACTTTGTCCAGCCCCTGTAGCACCGCTAGCTTGTCCCTCCACCGACTCACATGACCCATCTTCTCTCTTTCCGTTGTTTGATTCCTCCCCGAGGGAAGATACACTGCCCTTACGCACCGGAGACATTCTAACATCTGAGACTATTTTCTGGTTGTACTGTCCGACGGACGGAGCACTGATTTTTCGACACAGAGGCTGCCTGTCAGTCACATCGTCTGATTCACCTCCTGGCAAAGACACAAGACGTTTTATAACGACCTTGGAAAACGACCCTTCAAGTCCACATATCTCACTCCGTACTGGTAGAGGGCGAAGGCTGTCCAAGTCAGAGGGTGCAGTCTCCTCTATTAAATCCTCTTTAGATTTTCTAGGTTTACTGAAATCCAGGCCAACATACCCATCGTCCTCCTCCTCCTCGTGTACGGGAAGTACGGAAGCAGCCAACGATTTAATTTCTAGCCGTCTTTCCGCAGGTTTCTCTTTAGACTTCCCAAGCTTTCCTGACAAAGCTTTAGGACTATCACGCTTGTGTTTCTCAGCAAGGTTTCCTTTAGAATTATCTATGTTCGCTTTTTTCTCCGCCAATTTAGGTGGTGTTGGCTGTTCAACAACCTTCCGAGACTTTTGAATGATCTTATTTGACTCAGGGCCTGAAATATCACTTCCATTGCTAACTTTGCCAGTAATGCCTGTTTTAACAGGTGGATTCGGAACAGTTGGATTTTTCGCACTTGTGGGATTTGAGCTGTCCTCTGCTAAATCTGTTTCCATGGATTTTTCAGCAATGTAGGATCGAACACGGGTGGGATTCTTAACATCCACTGCACTTTCCTCAACCCGATGTGCGGAAGGGTCAAACTCCATATATAGGTAGGACTCTCCAGCAGGTCCCCCAGGATTGGTCGGCGTTTTCTCGTGTTCCTGACTGGTAAGTGATGGCTCTAGCGATTGTTGTCTATCTTCCCCAGATGATGCGGGGGTGTGTGTCATGTAATCATCCATGCTCCCCAAAGAGAAAACCACTGGTTCTGCTTGCTCGGATTTTGTCGACAAATTCTGAACTGGCAGAATGCCTTCTGGTGTTATTTTCCCACTGCTCTGCGGTGTTTTACTCTCTGGTGATTTCTCACTGGAATCTTTGACTTTCCTGCTGACGTCTGATTGGGTGTTCTTTCTAACACTTGTGTCTTGTGAAACCTCCGGCTGAAAATCCATGTAATCACTACAGGGAGTGGAGTGGGTCTCAGCAGACTTTATCGTGTATGACGGGACAGATTCTGGTTTCTTCAACACATTAGCAGTCTCTGCTGGCCGGTCACTCCCTTCAGACAATGTCTCCGACCCCGGTTCATATGCCAGATACACGTCATCCTGAACACTTGTTGTCTTCTGATATTTTGATTCAGACTTTGGACTATGTTTTCCATCCTTTGGACTATTTTTTCCGAACTTTTTACTATCAGAACTTCCTTTTTTATGTTTTTCTGCAGATTTTTTTTCACTTTTGTCACTTTTATGCTTTTTTTTCTTCAATGAAAATTTTCCAGAGTCTGAACTTGAAGAGTCTTTTCCACTGGATCCTTTAAAATTACTGTCATTTTTGTCTGAGGAAGCTGGTTGATAAGGGACGTAACTCTCTTCCTCTGACTCCCTCCCAGAGCTGGCTGGACTACGTCCTTTGACTGAAGGACTGCGAGACCCACCTGAACCTGAATTAAAAGCCACTGGACTAAACAGAGCTGCCTGGCTTGGAATTCCATCGGTTCCGTGAGTGGAACTACCTGTATGATGTGACGGAATAAATCCAACCGGTTTCTGCACGACATGACCAGAAGCCTTGATGATTTTGATATCCGGCGATGATTTCTCCGGTCGACTAGGACTTATAAATCCACTCACAGCTGGCGATGAGCTCAGACTCTGCGAGGATGAGCTGCGCGACGTACCACTACACTTAGACCCTGCACTCTGACCTTGACCTCCGATTGACATATCTATATAGCCACTATTTTCGGAATTACGATTCATGTTCATGTCAACGTAATCGGACTGCTGTGATGACTTCGAAGAGGTCTCCAATTTCCGTAGCGACTCGGAAGAAGAAGCTTTGGAGGAGGTAGTGGAGAACCGACTGAGGGATTCGAACGATCGTTTGTGTAATAATTCCTTCGAAGTTGTACGCACCGACTCAAATGACCCCATTTGTTTACCACCCCGTGAACTCTGGCCGTAGCTGGATGACCTTGGCCTATGTCCTTGGGTGTTGTACATTTTCCCAAAACTTGACGCTCGTGGTCTATACCCGTAACTTTCACTTGCAGTGCGAGGTCGACAGAAATCTAGTTCCATGAAGGAATCGGAGTCATCAGATTTTATGGATGCACTGTAGGAAGAGGCGTCCATAGGCATATAAGCCGCTGCCTGATTCTTGATTTTCTGGACAATTAGATGTGGAGCACTTGAACTACGACCATTGTCCATAACCTTAAGGTCAAGCGGGATAGAAGGCTCTGGTATGTGTGTGTGTCGGTGTAAGGTCTTACTGACCGGACGACTGCCCAGGGAATACGCTCGTTTAGGGAACTCTCCTGACATTGAATCGTCTGACAGATAACTGATGACCTTCGCTGGCTTCAGATCTGCAGCTGATCTGGGACTCATACCAGTCGGGGTCATGGGCAGGTAACTCTCACCACCTGTAAATCAGAACACATAATATCAAATCATGTTTTAAAAAAAAATAAAAAAATAAAAAAAATATCATTTTTTTTTTTTTTTTTTAAATGGGACGATCTGGATAAATTCTAATATTTTGTTTAAGGGCTCTTCCAGAAATAATCAAATGGGAGAGGTGGGAAACCCTTTTTCAGAGACCAACCCACCAATCAAATATCAAAAGTGATATAATATCAGAAATGGTAGACAGATCTGGTTTAAACCTACAACCCATAATGTATGAACACAGGTGCTTCCTACCTCCCCCATAAGATTAATTATGGAATAGCCCTAAGCAAGATTTGTGTTGATAACTTTCCTTTCTGGCATGAAATAAGTTTTGTTAGAACTTTTAACATGAAGCTTCCTGAATAACTTTACCAAATTACAAAAGAGTTATAAATCAAGTTAATCAATTTTTCTATCAAGAAATACTGACGGTATTTTCCAGTTTGAGCATATATGACCATGCTGTACAAAGCTGGTAAGAAAGTCTTGTTGATGAAAATGTCTTTTTTTTTCAACTTCAGCAAATATGTTTACTTTTGGTGTTGTTTCTGAAAGCGTTATTGTTGTGGAAAATTTTGAACTTTGAACAAATTGTTTTCTTAACCTTGTGCCAAAAATGTAAGACGTTGTACGTAGTTGAAATATGTTTGAGATACTGTACCTATTGTTACATAAATAAAACAACTCACTGCCGCCTTCTTTGACTGTGGGGAGAGGCTGACTGGTCGGAGTCATGTTCATGTCCACGTAACCTCCCTCCTTTGTTACACGGGACGGGATCGGAACAGACATGGAGGATTGGCGGTTCCCATGGTGACCCATCATCATGTAGGAGTTATCACTTACACCTGAAACGAATCAATCAAAATCATGCAGTTAATTCATTCTAAATGACAAGGTAACTGTCATCCTCGATACTCCAGGGGTTTAAGCTCACTTTCGCTCTCTGCACCCCTGGAATATGTCATACAATGGCTCAGCGTGGCCCACCTTGTGGAGGAGACAAGACAACTTGTTTGACCCTTTCATGTACATCTAAAGCATCTCACGTTCTCCTAACAGTAAAATTAAATGGCTTTGAAGTGAGCTGTCGTTCCTCTGTAATCTTCAAAGGACAGGTATCAGCCTTGCAATTGGTCAGGTTATTTTTGTACCTGAGACCAATCAAATAGCTAGCTGCTAGTCCGAATTATTCTGACGTTTTATCAACTTTTATATATCGGTCTGTCGTCGATTAACGTCAGAACTCCGGCCCTCTATAATATGCGGGAAATAAGCGACCTGCGCCTGGGTCGCTCTTTAAACTGATATTTTAGAAACAAATCGTCACTTTCACACACATGTCGCACATGGATCGAAGGATCTATTCTTTATGCACTAGGTGGTATCAATAACATGTTTTAAAGATCATTACGAACAGTATTTTCCAATGTTTTCTATATCAACCCATGCTTTTAATGGAAATTAAGGCATGAGCAATGCCACATGACTTGACGAGATCTCGCATTACCGAAGGTATTTCCCAACGTTATGACATAGCCCGTCAAGATTTTAGTCATGTGGCATTAGAAGGCGTCTATCAAAAACATAAAGTAAAACAGAGTAAGTTTGAAAAAATATGTTTTTAGTGATTGTATTGGTTGTTTGGGGCATGTTATGTATGTTCATCTTGTGCATAAAGAATAGATCTTTCGATCTATGTGCGACATGTGTGTGAAAGTGACGATTTGTTTCTAAAATATCAGTTTGGAAAGCGACCCAGGCGTGGGTCGCTTATTTCCCGCATATTATAGAGGGCCGGAGTTCTGGCATTAATCGATGACAGACCGATATAAAAAAAAAGTCGATAAAACGTCAGAATAATTCGGATTAGCTAGCTGCGTGCCTTCAATTTTGCTATGACATATTCCAGGGGTGCAGAGATCGTAAGTTAGCGTAACCCCTGGAGTATCAAGTACACGCATGAGTAACTGCATGTTAAAGGTAAAAGCTTCTGTTATATGGGAGTAGTTAAAAGTAGTGTTAATATGGTATTAGTTCCAAATACATAACGGTTATTATAGAAATATTCCTTGTTTCGTTTTCTACTTGATAGTCTGGTGTCCAGAGTCTCCGATGTTTGATGTTGTCATGGTTATCTGTTGGTTGAGCAGAAACGGTGTATTTCGACCGTTACACTTCCCAGTTGTTTATTTTTCAAATTGTATTTTAGTTATTTAATGTAAATTGTCACAATTAAGTTACAGGTTTAGGTTTATCCAGAAGACAAGGCAGGAAAATAACAAAAATTAAATGCTACATTTTTAATGACACTGAAAACTTAAAACACTACTGTAAATATTGACCAAAACAAAATTTGAGCCATCTTTGAAATTCAAGTATTGCTCTCTCAATAAACACAGCATCTCTGCACCTTTTGTTTTTCACACGACAGATTTCTAGGTAATTCCTGTCTATTGCACTTTGCATGTCAGCAAAGCAGTGTAACAGTGGAATCGACAACTTTGATCTCAGAATATCTGTTTCCTAATCTTCAAATCACAGGTATCACTGTCTTATAGCCTAGAAATTGGTCAGTTATTGAAATCTGTTACCAATCAAATGGCTCACTTCCCCTTAGGTGGACGTCCAAAAGGAGGACTTTCTAGGGGTTATCAAAAATCGAAAGGATCTGCTTCAAAAACCTGGAGGGAGCAGTAAGAGAATCAAGACAAATACAATCGAGTAGGAGGTCAGGCTCGTGACCAAAGGGTTGTGGGTTTGAGTCCCGGCATGGCACTGTGTTGTATCTTTGAGCAAGATACTTTACTCTGCTTGTTCCAGTCTACTCAGCTGTAAATGAGTATGTGGTTGGGCAGTGCTAGAATTGTTGAATGCTAGCTGTGAGCGCCGAAATGGCAACACCGGCTGTATGTTCCCCTTGGAGTTGAGAAATATATTGGCTGGTAGCAAAGGCCCCATAACCAAGGATACTAATTTGTGACCCACTTTGAGACGACCTACAAACTAGGTTGTGATGAAGGGGTAAATAAGAACCTTAAATTATTATTATCATTATTAATTGATTCTGTTTTCCACCGCACACTCCTGTCTGTATGTAGAAACCTTGAAACATACTCTGGAAGCTGCCAACAGATAACTTGTTGGAAACAGTGTAGGTTTCAGAAAAGGCTGTTCTATTCTAGTCAATCTTTGATACTCCAGGGGTTACGCTCACTTACAATCTCTGCACCCCTGGAATATGTCAAAGCAAAATCGAAGGCTCAGTGTGTACCACTTTGTGGATGAGACAAGAAGGCTATTTTGATCCTTTGATGTACATCAAAAGAATCTCACGGTCTCGTAACAGTAAAATTTAATGTCCCTGATGGAACTCTCCTCTTTAATCTTAAAAGAACAGGCATCATAGCATAGCGATTGGTCATTTTTTTTTACCTTAGACCAATCAAATAGCTTGTTGGATGCCTACAATTTTCCAGGGGTGCAGAGAAAGTAAGGGAGTGTAACCCCTGGAGTATCGAGGATGTGTAGTTGAGTATGTTGTCCGTGTTTATCAGGTGAAGCGAGATCTTACCTTTGTCCTGTGGCAGTCCGGGTGAATTAATGGCCATGTCCATGTAGCCTGTGTCGTTTCCTCCAACACTGCTTCCCAACGAGCTACTCGGCTTCATCTCAATATAGCCTTCGTGTTTACTCGACCCCGTTATCATTATGGCATCTGAGGCTACAAGTAAACATTCACATATAAAAAGGCTTTCACATCAATTACTTCTTGACTATGCTTTTGGAAAATCTGATTTAGAATAAAAACAAATTATTGTAATTTTCAAATTTCAATTCAAATTCTTTATAGATTTTTACTGAAGAAAAAAATGATTTTTCCAAAAGAATTTCACCTACATGTATTTGATAAAAAAATCCCCAAATCATTGTATATTATCCATTTTTTTCTAAATTTCAATTAATCAAACTCCTTCAATTTGGAAGTAAGTATAGTAGTTTTATAAAACATTTTACTTTCTTAACTTATTCACCCCTGAAATTTCATAATGAACTATTCCAATCTTTGAATTGGAAGAGTTAAAATGTGTCTTTAGGGGTGAATGAGTAAATGTCAGGAACATGTAATCTTACCAATTCTGTCTGTTGTGAAAGGATGTGGTGGTGAGGGGGTGGTTGATCTCGCCCCCGCCCCCGGGGACATGTCAAAGTAAGCCGACTCTTCAGTGATGGTCGGACGCATGGACTCAGGAGTCATTGAACGATGTGATCTGGAATTAACCAATCCGTGATTAGTATAGCAAACACTGTAGGTAAGTTCATGGAATTAAAATCCCACACATATGGGACATATTATGTAATGATAAAAGCAAAATGTATTAGTGAAGACTGAATTCTGCATTTGGAGTAAATATTACATTACAAGTATCTTCCTTAAGATCCATCAGTTTGGAAATATGTGATATTAAAGTTTCACTTTCTACACAAACAATGTACGTATTAAATGTGTCGCAACATTTTAAGGCTGACTGGTCCCTCTGTCAGGCCATGATTGAGTGAGCGATTGGTATTGTTACTTGTACACCGATGTGACGAAATTGTAGATTTTTTATATCAATAGAATATACAATTTCGTCACACCATTGTACAGGTAAACAATACAAATCGCTCCTTCAGTCGTAGCTTGGCAGAGGGATAAGTCGGTCTTGAAACGTTACGACACGTTTAGTACGGACATTGTCTGTATAGAAAGTAAAATTTGATATTACATTACAAGTACCTAAACAATTCAGAGCCTAAAGTTAAGTGACTGTCTTTGTCACCGAGAGATAAAAAGTATTTCCATCTTCTAAATATAAGTGCATTATATAACATTAACCACAATTCTCATTGCATATTTCCAAGATGGAAATTTCTTGTTTAAACAACATCAGGTTTATTGCCGTTTTTCAAAGGTCATTTTACAAATTTTTAACACATTTTTTGCGCAGCACATTTCAGACACGACGTTTTCAATGACTTTATTTCCTTGAGTATCAAGGGTAGAAAATCACAGGGCTCATAAAATATTTTTAACGTAGAAGAATTAACTTAGATAATTTTGATTATACTTACAATTGATCACCTGGACTTGATCCATACATGGATGCATCAGGTGACAAGGCTACTTGACTGCAGCGTGAGCCGCGTGATTCGGCGCTGTCAGAACGACCCCGGTGGCCTGGAGCTGGAAAATTCAGCGTGGCATGCGCTGCGTTCTGATTCTCGTAGAAAGCTGGCTGTCCGGCAGCCTCAAATAAATGGGGACTACAATTGTAATAGAGAAGATATCACTCGGTGTAAGAGTACATGCAATAATAATGTTTGTTCTGGTAAAAACCAACATAAAAAGCGCATTTAGATTTATTCTTTTCTCCTTAACTCATTCACCCCTGCAGACACATTTGAAATCTTCCAATTCAAAGGTTGGAATAGTTCATTATGAAATTTCAGGGATGAAGACACATTTGAACTCTTCTAATTCAAAGGTCGGAATATTTCATTATGAAATTTCAGGGGTGAATGAGGTAGAACAACAGAATTGGCACATATTGCTTCGAATACTGAAATGGATTATACTCCAAAAAGTCTACATGGAATTAAAATAACAATACAGTAAATGCAGTTGCAAAAATTTCACAAATCTTCCTCAGCATCAGACCTGTGCTATCACAAGGAGGCAGTTACACCAACATACCCTGCCTCCAGCACACATACTCAAATGCATGCATACACAACACACATGAAAGCACCTCCTTAAATGACCCTAGCTGTTGATAGGATGTTAAACCCTATAAAACCAAACTAAACTTACTGGAATGAGTTTTGTCCTGCAGCAACCGGTGGCGTGTTGTCCATACTGGTGTTGGGGGAGCGATATACCACGGACGACATAGGTCTTCGGCTCGGACTTCCTTGTCCTTTAACACGCTGACCTTCACTTCCTGTCCGTGGCCTGAGTGCAGCTGTTCCATTTAAGTCGTGGCTGTTGTCCCGGGGGCGGTTGATCATTGAAGTGTTAGTACTGCTGCGCGGTCGGAAGTGAGCCTGTTCATTGTTAGACGATGTTCTCATGGCGCTGTGGATGCAACGACATACAATTACACACTGGTTCAGCAGTATTATGGTACTAAACATTTCTCACAAGTTAACTCGACAACATATAACAATATATAAGTTTAACTCATTCACCCCTGAAGACACATTTGAACTCCTCCAATTCAAAGGTTGGAATAGTTCATTATGAAATTTCAGTGGTTAATGAGTGAAGACCTTTTCTCACATGACTAATATAGACATAAATCCTTTCACCCCTATAAAACTAAGTAGACTATGCAATGCTTTGATCTGGATGAGTCCAACATGGTCAACAGTATGTGTGAAAGGTATCTTCATGCAAAAATATTTACATTTGTGCTGCAATGTCATTATGTAAGCCAAGTAAACTAATGTTGTTTCTGTCATTTTCCTGTAATGCAGTGGGCATTCATATTGCCTATGAACCAGTTTAATTATTAAGGAACTGCTTAAAGGTAAGGGACCATAAAATGGCCAAATATGGACCCATTCTTTGGTCCACAGTGGACCTTGAGCCCCAGAAATAGACTTACGAAAGGATGACCTCATGCATGCTCTGTGCGATGACTGTGTCATCCACCTGTATCCAAAGCTCCCCCTCACCCGTTGGTGCTGAACGTCCAACATCCATGAAGAAGTATCCATCTGAATGGCCACACCGCCGGATACTGGACAACTGAAAGGTTAACAAGAATTGATAGCAGATACAAAGAAATAGACGATACAAGTACACAAGAACTGATGATACTTTTTAAGGTACACAAGATATGATGACGCCTTTTAAGGTACACAAGAATTGATGACACTTTTTCAGGTACACAAGAATTCATGACACTATTTTTAAGGTACACAAGAAGTGATGACCACCTTTTAAGGTACATGTACACACCTTTTTACACTACTCGGTACACAAGAATTGATGACACCAATATTTTAGATGCACAAGAATTGACAATTTTTTTTAAGGTACACAACAATTGATGATACTTTTAAGCTACCAGGAATGTATGATACATTTTTAAGATACATTTGAATTGAAGAATTTTATGTGAGGTACACAAGAATTGATGAGTTGTTAAGGTACACAAGAATTAAAGACATTTACACAAAATGGGGGGGGGGGGGGAACAATTCACATTGAGAATAAACAAGATCTTTGTTTACCCAGAGGGAACTGACCATGCTAATGAAAGATTCACAGTTAAACACAGGTTGTTACATAAACATCCTGGTACATGTCGGTCATGAATGATTTAAATCAAATCCATGGCAACAATAAACAGGAAAGGGTGCCAGCTGAAATCTCCTTAGAAACTATCTTGAGTAAGTCATGTCCATTTTTTTATACAAAATTAAAACATAAAAAAGTGTTGACAATATTGACAAAATCTGCTCTTATGTTATTGACAGCAATAAGAAGTTGTTGATCATGAAACAGGAAAATTCTAGACATCATTTAATCTCAAAAGTTTATAAGACAAATCTCTGATGGTACTATTAGAAATGTGATTATTCTGCTTTTGCTTTACCTGAAAGTTGAACTCAAATAAGTCGGAGTTGTTTCTGAAGAGGCAGATGTCAGTTGTGGACAGACACATGCGATACGTGCCGCTCATTCCCGGAATCGTACAGCCAAGCCCGCGGTGCTTAATTGTCACCTGCCACACATAATCTGTGAAAAACAAATCAATCAAACAGTAAACAAACAAGTCGGAACTTAAAACAAGAGATCCCAGAGGGATCTTGGCACCCACCTTTGTACCATCTTCATTAGTTCTTTATCAGTTCGATCTTTTCTCTTCTTTCCTCTAATCTGTTTGATCGAGTCATGTTAACAGTTAATGCACCTTGAGGTAACTTTTGATCTAAACTTAATACTGATGTGTATGAAAGCCAAACTTTAAAGTGAGTTTGTCATTTCACATATTTACTAGTACAGTACTTAATGTGAAAAACATAGAACCGATCATTGCAATATGAAAAAGATCTGTTTAGTTTTTCTTTTAATCAATTTTGTTTTTATGATCAGTCTCAAAATATAACATACACAACAAGGGATCAAGGGGAACTTACAATTAAAATTTGAGAAAGATCCCTCCCGTACTTCCCGAGAAATAGCGATAACAAACTTTCAATATCAAAATCAAAGATGGCTGCCTGTCGGCCATGTTGTTTATCCGATCAGTCTCTAAAATCGCCCTGCACAGCTCAGGACCAAGGGGAACCTACATATAAAATTTGAGAAAGATCCCTGAGGTACTTCTTGAGAAATACAAAACAAACTTTCACTATCAAAATCAAAGATGGCTGCCTGTCGGCCATGTTGTTTATCCGATCAGTCTCAAAATTTCCCCTGCACAGCTACGGACCATGGGGAACCTACATATAAAATTTGAGAAAGATCCCTCTGGTGCTTCCCGTGAAATAGCGATAACAAACTTTCACTATCAAAATCAAAGATGGCTGCCTGTCGGCCATGTTGTTTATCCGATTAGTCTCAAAAGTTGCCCTGCACAGCTAAGGACCAAGGGGAACCTACATAAAAAATTGAGAAAGATCCCTAATGTAATTCTTGAGAAATAGCGATAACAAACTTTCAATATCAAAATCAAAGATGGCTGCCTGTCGACCATGTTGTTTATCCGATCAGTCTCTAAAATCGCCCTGCACAGCTCAGGACCAAGGGGAACCTACATATAAAATTTGACAAAGATCCCTCTGGTACTTCTTGAGAAATAGCGATAACAAACTTTCAATATCAAAATCCAAGATGGCTGCCTGTCGGATATGTTGTTTATCCGATCAGTCTCAAAATTTTCCCTGCACAGCTACGGACCATGGGGAACCTACATATACAATTTGAGAAAGATCCCTCTGGTACTTCTTGAGAAATAGCAATAACAAACTTTCACTATCAAAATCCAAGATGGCTGCCTGTCAGCCATGTTGTTTATCCGATCAGTCTCAAAATTTTCCCTGCACAGCTAAGGACCAAGGGGAACCTACATAAAAAATTGAGAAAGATCCCTCTGATACTTCCCGAGAAATAGCGATAACAAACGTTCACTATCAAAATCCAAGATGGCTTCCTGTCGGATATGTTGTTTATCCGATCAGTCTCAAAAGTTGCCCTGCACAGCTAAGGACCAAGGGGAACCTACAAGGGGAAAGACGGACGACGGACAACGGACGGACGACGGACCACGGACGCAGGGTGATTTGAATAGCCCACCATCAGATGATGGTGGGCTAAAAATGTATTTTTTCAATAACATTGTGGTTTTTAGTCTGTGAACACAACAAGCGACTACTGGATTGATCAAGGCCCATATTCATTAAACCGTTCTCATGCTCAAACTCAGATTCTGTGCTCAAGCCAAATTTCTTGTTCCAGTAATACTATATATATATAATCAAAGTGCTGAGAGCACTCAGGGATGAAGGATTCAAATAATGGAATAAAGGAGGTGGTATATCAGTACAGAATGTCAGTAAATAATAAAGAACATGTTGTTGAGTACGGGTCATAATAGTCCATCCCTTAATCATAATTTTCAATAAAAATATATATAACAAGCAGAGCACTGCTAAAAAAATTGAAACTTGTCTGATATTATGGTCCTTAATTAGTGTTTCAAATCGATGGAAATCCTTTAGAAGAATGAAGCTGCTACAGCGCAGACAATGCTCTTTTTAAAAATAGTAACAGTGACCTTGACCAGACAACCCTGCAAACCAAAATTGTCCTGTAAGATTATGGGAAAGTTAATTTACGATTAAATAATAAAAATAATAAAAATTATGTTATATAAATAATATCAATAAATAATTATGATATTATTATTACAATTTGTTATTATCATGATTAATTATAAACAAAAAAAACGAGATGGTATTATTTCCAGTGCGTGTAATCATGGACTTAGGTAAGTCCCTTGTGTATCTCTCCTTCTCTCAATATTGTAACGAAGGTTAAAGACCTATATAATTGTTCAGTTTCTGGTTAATGTGAATAATATATATATATGGTTTTAATTTTTGATGTTCAATATGCTATATTCACGAAGCACTTGTATTATACTAATCGGACCATTATCTAGAGACTGTATTGGGAAGCTATCTACAAACTTGTTAGGCACAGCTGCTGTTGCATTGGGAAGCTATCTATAAACTCGTTAGGCACAGGTGATGACGGCTACTTTGGTATAAGTCAACATCCTCTTCCACTTGGAGACTTTCCATGGAGACAAAGAAAACATGAAGCCTTTTTTATCAAGGAAAGTTATCAAACAGTCGTTCAACAAGTCTCGAGCATCAAACTAGACAAGGGAGAAAACTCTTTTACACACACTTTAGAGTATTGGAATACAAGGCGTAGTAATTTGAACCAAATATAGTTTGGAACTTTCACTCATTAAAAATCTTTAAAAAAAACATCTTTGTTTTTTTTTGTCTTGTACAGATATATTGTACCATATTATAGCATTGATCATATCATGAAATAATGAACACATTATCTAAAGATCTTTTGCGGAAGGAGATAAAGTGTTGTTGTTGTTTTTTGTGAAGAAATTATTCGGTCCAAAAAGCGTAGTAATCTGAGGTTGATATAGTTCATGATGCTCACTGAAAAAACTCGCCTTTTTGTAAAATTTTAACAGTTTTTCTTTGATTTATTAATCGTTTTCATATGTATTTCAGCATTTTATAGCATTAATCATACCATGAAATAATCAACACAGCATTTAAAGATCTTCCGCGGAAGAAGAAAGTCTGTTGTTTGGTTTTGATTTGCCCAGGCTTGGCGAGGACTGCTATGAATGCTGTACACAGCATCCAAATATATTCACATTTTTTCAGCAATTTTGAAGAAATTCAGAGAGCCTTCAAACCAAATAGCATTTAAAATGTTTACAATTGACATTTTGATTACATCACATGATATAAGCGAGTTTACAAAAAAGGTGGTTTGAGCCTAAAATCCAAGATTGAGCATGAGGACGGTTTCATAAATACAGGGCCTGGTCACTCAACACACCAGCTGGTCACTAAACAAATGACGAATGGCTTGATAAATATGGTCACTCATCACACCAGCTGGTCACTAAACACACCAGCTGGTCACTAAACAAATGACGACTGGCTTGATAGATATGGTCACTCAACATACCAGCTGGTCACTAAACAAATGACGACTGGCTTGATAGATATGGTCACTCAACACACCAGCTGGTCACTAAACAAATGACGACTGGCTTGATAGATATGGTCACTCCACACAACAGCTGGTCACTCAACACACCAGCTGGTCACTAAACAAATGACGACTGGCTTGATAGATATGGTCACTCCACACAACAGCTGGTCACTCAACACACCAGCTGGTCACTAAACAAATGACGACTGGCTTGATAGATATGGTCACTCCACACAACAGCTGGTCACTCAACACACCAGCTGGTCACTAAACAAATGACGACTGGCTTGATAGATATGGTCACTCCACACAACAGCTGGTCACTCAACACACCAGCTGGTCACTAAACAAATGACGACTGGCTTGATAGATATGGTCACTCCACACAACAGCTGGTCACTCAACACACCAGCTGGTCACTAAACAAATGACGACTGGCTTGATAGATATGGTCACTCCACACAACAGCTGGTCACTCAACACACCAGCTGGTCACTAAACAAATGACGACTGGCTTGATAGATATGGTCACTCCACACAACAGCTGGTCACTCAACACACCAGCTGGTCACTAAACAAATGACGACTGGCTTGATAGATATGGTCACTCCACACAACAGCTGGTCACTCAACACACCAGCTGGTCACTAAACAAATGACGACTGGCTTGATAGATATGGTCACTCCACACAACAGCTGGTCACTCAACACACCAGCTGGTCACTAAACAAATGACGACTGGCTTGATAGATATGGTCACTCCACACAACAGCTGGTCACTCAACACACCAGCTGGTCACTAAACAAATGACGACTGGCTAGATAGATATGGTCACTCCACACAACAGCTGGTCACTCAACACACCAGCTGGTCACTAAACAAATGACGACTGGCTTGATAGATATGGTCACTCCACACAACAGCTGGTCACTCAACACACCAGCTGGTCACTAAACAAATGACGACTGGCTAGATAGATATGGTCACTCCACACAACAGCTGGTCACTCAACACACCAGCTGGTCACTAAACAAATGACGACTGGCTTGATAGATATGGTCACTCCACACAACAGCTGGTCACTCAACACACCAGCTGGTCACTAAACAAATGACGACTGGCTAGATAGATATGGTCACTCCACACAACAGCTGGTCACTCAACACACCAGCTGGTCACTAAACAAATGACGACTGGCTTGATAGATATGGTCACTCCACACAACAGCTGGTCACTCAACACACCAGCTGGTCACTAAACAAATGACGACTGGCTTGATAGATATGGTCACTCCACACAACAGCTGGTCACTCAACACACCAGCTGGTCACTAAACAAATGACGACTGGCTTGATAGATATGGTCACTCCACACAACAGCTGGTCACTCAACACACCAGCTGGTCACTAAACAAATGACGACTGGCTGGATAGATATGGTCACTCCACACAACAGCTGGTCACTCAACACACCAGCTGGTCACTCAACACACCAGCTGGTCACTAAACAAATGACGACTGGCTGGATAGATATGGTCACTCCACACAACAGCTGGTCACTCAACACACCAGCTGGTCACTAAACACACCAGCTGGTCACTAAACAAATGACGACTGGCTGGATAGATATGGTCACTCCACACAACAGCTGGTCACTCAAAACACCAGCTGGTCACTCAACACACCAATAATTAGACAGTTTACACAACCAACAATGGCTCGACATGTAACAACCTGCAACTCAACACAACAGTTAGACATTTTACACAACAAACCATGGCTCAACACACCAATCATCTGATTTATAGCGGCAATTAAAACCTACACTACATATCTGTTACTGCAGTTGTCAGTAGAACAAGTGCTGTTGGACATGCAAGAAACATAAATGGTACAAGAATTCTAATTCAGAGATCAATGGAATTTTCGAGAACTTGTTTATATCTAACAAATATATCTTTTTTAAATAAGCCTGTGAAACAAAAAACTGAAAATCAAGATAGCATGCAACCTGTCAAAATACATTGAGGACTGTTATAAACATAACTGTTATTGTTAAAATTATTTCAGTTGGAAGTAAATTCAAAACACACATATATATAAAGTGCTGCTTGTTTATAGCTCCTTGACATTAATTAAAAGGTTCATCTTTAGCGTAAAAGGATTGTTCACAATGAAATTTGAGGGAAAATGAAAATTTCAAATAGGCTTTGATGTATAATGTATTTAATGCTTTATCATTTGAACCTGTAAGCTTTCTTTCTTGATTTTTTTTTTTCTCCATTTTTTTTTAAGAAAATAACAAGTAAACAACTGTACAGTAATACATTTAAATCACAAGCAATTCTGATTGATATGTCACGCATGTTCCCCGCTTTGACCATCAATGCACATATCAGAGAAACCAACTTAAACGCAAAAACTTAATGTTGATGGAGATGCTGAAGAAAATCAATGAACTATGAAAGGTAGGCTGCATCCAGCATTTGATGCAGGAGTTGAGATGTACCACCTAAGATGCATCTATGGTCTAAGTTTGGTTGGTGTAGCACTTATATGGTTTCAGAGAAACTAACTGAAACTCAAAGACTTAATGTTGACGCCATCGCCAGAAAAGCACCCCTAAGTCTTGCTACCGCTACTTTGTGGCAGCGACCAAAAAAATGACTTTCAATATTTTACTTAAACAAGAAGCCCACAGGAATTAGTCACCTGATCATGAGGAAAACAATTATTTGATATGTTCAGTATAAACAGATATTGCAGTTAAAGGTGTGTACAGAAGAATGTGGTGGGTATACCAGGAGGCATTTGTAAAGTTATTGTTTTTGATTATTGGTTATAATTAGGAAAATAAATTTTCAATTAATAATAAAAATAACATTTAAAAAAACACAGGAAGAAGTAACGAGCATAAAAAGTTATAATGTTGCTATATAACATGGCTGCCCTGGTGGCTGTATTCTATTTTAACTCATTCACCCCTGAAGACACATTTGAACCCTTCCAATTCAAAGGTTGGAATTGTTCATTATGAAACTTCAGGGGTGAATGAGTTAAACAAGCCAAAAGATCAACAACACATGCCATAATATGGCTCAAATTAGAATCTGAAGTTGATGGCTGTACCTGATGGACCTGAAGTACAACACCACTGTGTCACCACCATGTAGATATACTAAACATTCCTGTTATCTTTCATCGAAATCCTTCCAGTTGTATTTGTATTTTAAGTTCAAAATGTGAAACGTTACCACCTTATATGTACAGATGACGTAAAAGCCGACAGCATGTCGCCAAAAAATGTACATGTGTTATTGTTGTAAATGTTAGCACATTATTATAAAGTTCAATTTATTGAAAACAGGACATATTTAGATCAGGAATGAAATAAAACTTGCAAGTCAACATAAACATGTGTTTAGTGCAAATATCTGTGTTGAAATTCATTATCATTTGTGCAAGGGAGTGCCAACATATAATGTCAACACCAACCCATTTTATGAATGGAACCTTCCAGTCATATCTCATCCAATCAAAAGATTTATATATGTCACAGGGTTAAAGGTTATTGTTGATGTTAAGTTAACTCATGTTAAGTCGCATTGTCAAAACATCAATAGATCTATGATGAATTAAATTAATTTCATTAACAAGAGCACCGCGAGCGGAAGCATGATACACCCGTCGGACCCTCGGAAGGGTATTGATATATTGGAAGCAGGTAGTGACATATGATATAATGTGTTTACTGCCACCGTTTTGTTGGTGATTGTGACCTTATCATTCATTTACTGTGTTTATGGCGCAAGCTATTTTGTGTTTCAGAAAATTACACATTCGTGATCAATGTTGCTATTACTAAAACTAGAACCTTGGCTTTGAGGTAGGAGTCTTGGTATGAGAAGTTGGAACATGACAACAAAACCTGTTATATATGATAAACATGTTTGGTTTTTGTATTACCATACTAAATTTGAAAGGAATTTAACAAAAGATTAAAAAGTTCTTGCATTTTTGACGGAATGCCCTTATTTCAACTCATTCAAAACATTCAGTTTAACGAAAATCGGGAAACAATTGTTTGAGTTATCGTGTAAACAAGCAAACAAGCAACAACTCCCTGGGGAGCATACAGTCGGAGCTGCCATTTCGGCGCTAACTAACAGCTAGCATTCAACAATTCTAGCACTGCCCAACCACATACTCATTTACAGCTGAGTAGACTTGAACAAGCAGAGTAAAGTATCTTGCTCAAAGATACAACACAGTGCTGTGCCGTGCCTCGAACCCACAACCCTTCGGTCACGAGCCCAGCGTCTTAACACTAGACTACTGTGCCTTCTGATGGGTGGTCATAGGTGATAATTTTATACAATTAAATAATATTGTAAAAACAGTCTAGAGTAACAAAAAGTGGTCATATTAGATAGGTGATCATCTAACACAGGTAGTCATACAAGCAGATTTGACTGTAAACTCAAGGTTTCTGCCAGTGAGGATGAAGAGGAAGTGAATGGTGAAGGAGAGGTGGTAAATTTGGTGATCAATTATGCGAGGGCAGTGCCGATATTTAAAAGATATGCTGCATCCGCGAAACTCAGAGCGAAATGTCTAAGCACACATTGGAGACCACGGCTGGTGCAGCTTCACACGAATTACAAGTGACAAGTTACAGCAAAAAGCAATAACAGACTTTTTCAAGTGTGCATCAAGCTGTCAGTATCATGAGCATATTTTGTTAGTAAAAAAAAAAAAAAAAAAATGTATAGCTGTGGCGATATCTTTAAAAATAATCAAAACTTGGTATACACGATATATACAAACTCCCTTTATAATGAACTGATTAAGTAAGTCTCTTGGGATTCTATCAACAATGATTTACCGTATACTGTTTACATGAACTGTTGTTAGTGCATGCAATGCTTATTACCAGAATTTAAATAAACCCATGACTAGATCTTGTATACAGTGATCAACAGATGGCATAATAGCTTGCGGGTTGGGATTTTTGTCCGAAGCTGGTAGATTGTCAAGCCCAGCAGGAACTCGTAATTACTTCAACTTACCAAAATGTATTCTTGGAGTCACAGTTACACCGTCAGAGTATTCTGTCTGGTACTCCAGTAACAGTTCTAACCAATGGTCTTGCTCCATTGCAGTATCAGCGATGACTGCGAAACAGTCGTCGCGTGTGTAGAGGGCAATGGCATTTTTTGTGCGTGTGTCTGACTTTTTGTTGATGTTGAAACAGGTATGTAGATGTACAACACGTTTTGGTGCCTGACCATTCCGAAACTTTTTTTCGCTGTCGTAATATTCAAACCTTGCTGGTCCACTACTGCTTGTAGATCGCATTAGGAAGAACTTCTTCTTCATAGTCTGAAAAGTTGAATTACATTTCATTTACATACAAAGTTGGTCTCTTAGAGAAGATGCAGTTCATGGTTTTTTGGGGGGGTTTTGGGGCTTTTTTTTNGCAGTGTTATTTAATTGCTCTTTTGTAAATGGAGTTGGATAAAAATGATGATAATTTTTTAAAAACTATTTCAATACTATTTGCTTATCATTACTACATAACTTCATAAATGATCTCCCTTAAATCAAATAAACTTTTTGAAATAAACATCATTGGCTGCCAGTATGACATTGACAATTCGTTTTCAGTTTTAGTTTTAATTAATCATTTATTTTTCACAATGAGGATCATTTGAAGATAACTTTTTAGTCTAACTCTGATTAAAATAATTATCCTTCATCTAATGACCCCATTAGGAGTAGAATATGGTTTTAATCAGATTGGATATATATATATATCTATCTGTAAAAAAATATCTTCATGAAAATATAGTGATTATTGTTACAAAGATCAGTAATATTTTTGCAATGCCTCCCTCTGGAATCGAACCCTGGGCCTCTGGTTTACTAGTCTTACGGTCTACCAATAAGCTGAAGAAATTCCCACTAGCCCAGCCATTAGGAAGCGGATAGTATTCTACATATACCGGTGTCAGGTGGTTTTGCCCAAAATCCTCTTTGTCCTTGGTTGTTTCTTACTAAGTTGTTTCGCCTCAAAAATACAATTTCGAACAATATGTTTTAGGACTGTTTAGTTGTGGATGGCTAAAACAGTCTCATTTGATGTTTTTAATTTACTGTTTTCCTTTAAGTCTCCCTTTTCACGATTGAACACATCATACAATCACCAAATGTTTATACTCAAGAAACATATATTTTAAATTAAAACAATGAATACTAAAGGGTTTGTTATTAAAAAAAATGTCCTGTATAAAAAGATTGAACTGGCATCAATCTATAAACGGACCGGGAACTAATATTATTTAATATCATTAATATGTTCTGATTATTCGTTATTTCATTACCAATTTATATAGAGGTTTAATATAATAGGCCAGTATCTGTTGCACAGTCTAGACCTCGTGTAAATTTTAAAATGTTAAATCAAGTGGAAATGCAAGCATTCTTAAAATTTCATAATATTGTTTGTTTTTATAAGATAATTCTAAATATATTTTTTGACCAAATCATATGACCACTATTTCGATTTAATATTCTTAGTGTGGTGTTTTTTGTAGGGGGGGGGGGGCTTAGTGAGGGTCATCAGGTTCAGAATGTGCATTAGACAAACTTACCTTCAACTTTTTTAGATAACCGGCCTTTTTTATATCCGAGCCAGGTCGCTCGAACACTAGTGTCATTCTCGAGGCCGAATCCATCGTTTATTTTCAGTAGTACTTCACTTCAACAGTATCGTTACTCGTCTCAAAACATGTGGCATTTCGTGTGTGGGAGAGCCCCACCTTCCAATACTCACAGCTGATCATAATCAAGTTCATGGTCAGTCCGTCGCAACCGCATCGTGTAGACCTGGGACATGGTTACATTCGTTCGGTTCATCAACTCTTAAATATTCCTACCTGAAACCCTTCCGATCCCACCGTGATGTTACGACAGCAGAGTTACTTCGTAATCAATTTTTAACAGACTGCAATACACAGCGAACTTGGCAGGTGCCCCATTAATCAAGATTGGCTGTTGATGTTTTATCGGAGAGCGTAAACGACAATCGGAGATAAAAGCCTTAAGATAAACACATGAATACTTCCCTCTGCCCTGCTCAAGAATAAATTACGTTGTCGTCTATTCCTGTGTAGTCGAAACAGTGTTTACATAAAAACCCAAGGACGGGGCACATCACAGTAGCCATATTGGTAAATGTCACGTGACGATCCGACTAGAGTTGTAAACAAGTCGATTTGCGCATGCGTTAATTGTTGTTGTTTTCATTCAACTTCAGTGATGTCAACAACCTGCAAATATTCACGTGACGAAACATGTAGGCCTAGTTGTTGAGGATTTGCGTTCGCACCCCCGGATTAGTACTTATAGCACATTAAAAACCATTAAGCCCTAAAAGTATGCATACAATTCATTACAATGCTTCTTATATTACTGTACATGTAACCACCAGAGATCTGCATATCGACGAATTTGTGACATTTAACTGTTAATTGAAATAAATACCAGATATAGCCAATGTGTCCTTGGTGAAGTACATTGGTGGTGTGTATTACATAACATAACAGAGATTTTATAGAGACATACAATACAAATTATGTCTCGCTGAATTATATGCGTCTCTTTAATATATATATATATATATATATATATGTCTCTACTATACAATTTTGGCTCAGTAATTATAACGAAAGCATATAATATATGTTACATAAGATGGAACTATACATTTAAGAAGCCATGCATTGGCCTTATTTTATTTAAAACAAATAAGCGAATTGCTCCATTCAGAGACATAAATTGCACATGTCTCTGCTCTATTGATGTGTTATTGAGAAACCTTTCATAAAAAAAGTATTTTATTTCAAAACTTACCACGTACATTTACCCACATCACATAAAAGTTACTGATCCCCCCATCCTGACACTACAACATCGATATCAAATATGATGCGAATCTGAATATGATAAACTGATTTTTCCCCTTTGAAATAACACAGTTATCTAAGGATTTTTCTATAAACATCAGAGACAGTGGGTATGTTCAGTTGAAAGTTTAAGTAATCAGAACAAAATATGTGTATCGATATTATGAAATATTCTGTTAAATGATTTATTTTCCTAACTCTTTCAATTTTCCTATCATGAAGGAACACATTTTATTATAAATAATTATTGAAATATGCAGCTTCAGCTATAATCTTTTAAACTTGGGCAAACCACAGGGTCACGTTACAATCACACATATGCTATACTGATATGGGTCACAACACACATAAATATGTGTGATGTGACAAAACACATATTTCAGTATAGCATATGTGTGATTGTAACGTGACCCTGTGGGCAAACACTGTAGCGCACTGGAGTTAAAATCGTAGTGCACTGGAGTTACCACTGAAGTGAACTGGAGTGCACTTCCTTGTTCACTACGCCAGTGTGAATTACAAAGTGCACTAGATACCAATTTAAGTTTGCTCCCAACTGTATATATATATATATATATTAATAGTTGCAACAATGATACGTGTGTATCAGGAGAAGAAAAATCGCGGACAGACCGGTATTCGATCCCGGTACCCTCCGAGCTCTAGACGATCGACGCCCTATACCAAATGAGCTGACCCAGTCCATTTCCGCTACAAATGTGTAGCAAGTGTATGTGCTTTTACAAAGATTGCCAAATTAAACTTATACGTGAAGACTAAATTATGTTCAAAACTTGAAGAACTGTTCATTAAAATACAGATATAGCAAAATATACAGTGTACTTTTAAAAGAATATACGTACGTCTCTGAATATAGCTGCACGTACCTCATAATGTACATGATGATTAATATCAATTATATTTAATACCGGACCTCTTCTTACACTTACTATATATACCCGTTTTGCCAATTGAAGATGTTTATGTGTGTCCCATCATCGGCGTTAAGAATAAGTGCTCCCATTCCTCGTTCCAGAGGGACTATTTCCAGCTGTGTTAAAATTACAAAGGAGCCTAGCTGCCCCCTCATGATTTTGTTTCAAAAGTGCTACGAGATTTATCCTGCTGTTTTAACTCTTTTCAATCATTTATACATCTGATGTTATTACTTTGAATCACTCTATTAATTATTTAGATGATTAATTAACCTAATTACAGCATGGTGGTCGAAAAATGGAATATCAGCCTGAAAGAATTACTCTGAAAGAAATCGTATTTTTTTGCATCGTTATACTTAGGAAAGAAAATTTCTTTCATGCAGTGCTTTGATGATTTATTTATCATCGAGAATGTGAGTTTAATCGAACATTTTTGTGAAAATTTTAATGCAAAATATTGGATTTTTCATTTTTATTATTCTTGTATACCGAAAATTTTCATAGTATGAAGAAGTGGTGTTATTTCAAATATGTACGCAAATTTTCAGTCAAAAATAAGTTGTGGAAAGTATACATTTCGCACAACAAAGTACCCTGTGTACCCAAAAAGGTAAGGGCACAAGACACCTCCCTGACGTCCACCAAAATGCAATGCACCTGATAACAGGTAATGGGTAATGAAATTCGTTGCAAGCCTATAATAAACCTTTCAGTGCATGTTAGGTCACACAAAAAAATCCTAATTCAATTCATCAGTTGACGTGATTGATAAAGCTTTTGTTACCAATCAATTTTAAGATCAGATGTTCTATCCTTGTCACTTTTCAGGATTTGTTCTTATACATTTTATTATCAGACTTTCGTTTTTACGTTGCTTTTAGGGGATATTTCATACTCATTTGTTAATATTCATCTCATAATGAAGAGTAAATGTATTGGTGAAGGCCGCCATCGTATCTTCGCGAAATCTCGTAAATGTAAACGTACACGAAATGTAAAATAAATCCATAATATGGCATAGATTGCTCAAATGAAGAAGTTAGTATTAGTCCGAAGTGCTATATAAGGTATCATCGCAAACAGAATCTGAAACAGATCGTTTTGAAGATGAAAATACTAGACGTTTTCCTTTCTAAACAATCAAGGATCTGTTTTTACGGGTGCTGTTCACATACTAAATGTTGTCTTTGTTTTAACAAACTTAATTCGAAGCAAATGAACAATTATGCAAAAACGTGCCAGGCATCAGTTAATTTTCTCACATGAATTGTGGTGTTCTGCGTCATCACGTGTATTCTCATTTCTTCTTATTGGCAATGACCTGAACCCTTGTACACAGGTCATACTATAAGTAAGAGAGCCCTTTGAATTCTCAATTATGAAGTAGGTGATATGACATAATTGATGACCTTTTAGAAGTGTCGTACATCTTATCAAAGAATCAATCAGCCTTCACTCTCAATTTTTGTCTCTTGGATGACACTGACTGCAAAGCTTGGACAGGTTGATCAAAGAACCGTTTCTCAAAATCTGTTCATACTTTGTCACTTTTCTTTCTTTTTCAGTATAGACCAAAACTACAAAAAAGCTCTTTTACTGCTTTGGGTTATGATAAAAACTGATAATTCTTGTAATTAAGTGTTCTGCTCTTTTTGGCATTTCCCTGTCTGGTATTTCAAAACCTTTCATTCTAGTTCCAGTGTTCCTTGGTCCTTACCATTTGAGTAGGGAACAAATACTTTCATACTATACTTTTTTCCCTTCCCAGAAACATTCTTTGGAGACGAAGTGCCTGCCTTAATAGATGGTACATATATTTATATTAAAAAAAGTGCTGACCATATTAAGCTTCAGAGAATGTTTTATGGTGGCCAGAAGGAGCGTAATTATCTTAAAATTCATGAACATATATCTACCTGATGGCTACATTTTGGACACAGTAGGCCCATTCTCTGGAAGCCAACATGATGCAAGCATTACAAAAAAACATCATGGACAAGCTTACATGGTTGGAGCAAGACGACAATGTAGTCGTTGATCGTGGCTTTCGATTTGTCCTGCCAATGTTAGAGGCATCTGGTATTAATACCAGTACCCCATCATATATTAAGACTGTCCAGAGCCAACACTCTGATCTACAGGCTAACACTGACAGAGCAGTTACTAACTCCCTATGGATTGTATCATGGCCATCTAAAGCATTGGATAGTTTTTAGAACTTAATTGATATCAAATTGCTTCATTGATATAACTGATGAAGTGCTAAAGATTGTGACTGCATGTCTCAATTGGATACGGAGACCAATTTATCAAAGATCACCGGAAACTGAGATAAAAGACAGAGAACTTGCACATTACGTAAAGTTTCTACTTAAAAAAACAGAATGTTTGGCTCAGAGGGTGAAAACTAGCTCTCTCCAAGAGAGCAAAGTCAGAATTCGTAAAGATAATGAAATTCGGGTGTATCAGCACTCTTAAGACCTCATCCGTTGTCAGATTTGTTCCAGACACAAAAGTCAGACTGAATATAATATTTGGATTCAGTACACGACACCAAGTGATAATAATCCAATAACAGATTACTACTGCCAATGCCAAGTTGGTCAAAGAACTATTGGAATGTGTGCTCTACATCAAGTATACTTTATTATCTTGGCTATCATAGCAATCTTCAAAATCCAAAACAGTTGCACTCAAGGGCTAAAAAGTACCGACAAAGCTTTAAACAAGTTGCTTTCTAGAATCACTAGCTTGAAAACAAACTCAAAGACTTGCATCATTTTTTTCTTCCTTCTTTTTTCCAAGTCTGCCATTCGAACACATTTCATACTCTTGCATCTTGCAAAACATTATCTGTAAATGTCATCAGCTGTTAATACGGCGTCTAACTTTGATATACATGTATATATAAAAATAAAGTAACAAACAAACACACAACTTTGAATTCCATTGATAGTTGTCTATGAATCTGACAACTGATTGGGCAGTACAATGAATGTTTTGGTGGCCATCTTGAAAAGGAATCAAACATCTGATCCCTAGTTTTGGTTGCATCATAAATGATCCTTCGGTGAATTCTTAGTTTGACAATATTCATCTTTTGGGGGAAATCTCAGTTTTATGCTTCTACTAGAAACGAACCAAGTACTCATCTGAATTTTAATGGGTGTTTTTGTTGTGATAAGGTTTAGGTCTACACCTCACCAAAAGAAAATTGAAATCAAAGGAGGAGCCATTTGGAAGCCCCTCCCCCTCCCCCCTCCCTTTTGAGTGTATATAACAAGAATTGGTTAAGCAGTGAGTATTTCAGTATTGAATTTTCAAAGGTGCGATCGAGGAGCCACC